TTTTCGGAAAAATAAACATGGCCGAGACTCCCTAAATTACAAAAAGCCACAGCTTTGCTGCACATTATACATTACTATCTGAAATATACAAAAGTTAGGATAAATATAAATGTTTCTATTCTTACATAAACTGTTTCAATTTGGTCATTTGATTGCTTATTCTTTAAATTCAAAGTACTCACAACATTTATGATTTTACTTTAGACCGTGTTGAAAATGAATTACGTTCATCTGAAAAAAGCACATGGTCATCAAAGATGGTAGAAAGTGCAGTCGGACCTTAATTGTTTGGTTTAATGGACTTGGACTTAATGGACTCTTGATGTAATGCTTGTTTATTTTTGTCTATTTTCGAATACCACGATTACTCAATAAATATTATTCTAACAACTTTAGGCACTTACCTTGTATTGTTTAAATCTCGAATGATTAAACCAAAGCAAGATTGTGTAAGCCTATACTTCCTAATCCACGTTTCTATTCATCCAACCAGACTAATTATTTGTCGTCGAGCGCATGGACAATCCAATATGCAGCATGTGGCTTTTTGGCAAGCTTTAAACAACTCCTTCGTTGACTTGGCAGTATACTGAAAAGTTATTTTTACAAAAGCTAAATCAGATTATTAGTACTAACATGTTCAGGTATAGCAATTTTTTACCAAAATATTATTTTCCAGCTGTACCTTAAAACGTAACAATAACAAAACAGATGAATCTAGAATTGCACGACTGGGGTGTACTCGATATTATAACATACCTATGATGATGTATAGTGCAAAGTGTAAACAAGACAGCGGGCCAATATAATTAGTTTTGAAAAGCCCGCGCCCGCTAACTTTCTAATTGGTCAAGGCGCTGACGTCATAACCAATCAATCGAAGATAAAACTGCGCGAGCAATTTTTTTTAACTCATTTCAATCATTTTCAAACCATTTGTTTGTCAATTCTATAAGAAAACGGTACTCTCTGACCAGTCTACATCATCATAGGTATGTTATAAATCGTTTATGTCACTATCGTGGCACATATGCCCTCGGTTCTCAGAGATCAATGTCCCTCCCAAGGTCGGGCCATATATATCACCGAGACCTCGGGCATATATGCCACGATAGTGACATAACCTCTAATTATTTGAAGCTATTCATGATTATCAAAATTAGTTATCCTTTAATCTACTACAAAAGAATGTAAAATTAATGTCTACATAAAACGTCTTTTGAAACATATAATAAAATCTATGCGAGACGATATTAGGCAATCGGTTGTGGGGTTACTTCCTTGAAGTGGTCGGTGACTCTGCTCGAGATGGTAGTGGACGGGATAGGAGTTCACCACTCCTGGGACCGGCTTCTCGAGACTGTTCTCAATTCGCGCTACGCTTTTCAGTCGCAACAACACCCACAACGGACTGTTGTAGGTTCACAGCTCACGCATCTATATATTTTAAGTTGCTCATTTGTTTCTAAATCATGTGGGCTTGTCGCATCTTTAAGGACAGGGTGCATGTTGGGAAATTTTCTGCATTCCTCAATTGAGTCACATGTTATTTTTCAAACATGAATAACTCCTTCCCCACATTGTCTACATCTTCCAAGTTTGCACAAAGGGTGCACTTCTGTGCCTAGAAAAGCCTTGTGAGAAGGTTTGTTTTGTAAAATGTATAAAAAATGAGAAAATTCAGTGAAAAAAAATTCTGAAAATTTTCTGATTTTTTTCACTGAATTTTCTTGTTTTTTATACACTTTATCAAAACATTCTTCTCACAAGTCTTTTCTAGGCACATAAATGCACTCTTTGTGCAAAACTGGAAGATATAGACAATGAAGGGAAGGAGTGATTCTTGTTTGAAAAATAACATGTGACTCAATTGAGGAATTTTGAAAATTTCCCATCATGCACCCTGACCTTAATGTTGGAATTGCTTTTCCGAAGATGCGCCCAGTCCAGAAACAAAAGTCCGTCTTTCCTAGAAATTGTGCATAGACCTACCTACTCGTCGTTTCTTTTAATGTCGTCTGACTGATATCATCAGTAGTCACGCAATCTAATGCCTGGGTCACATTTGCTCCGATCCATCGCCCGGCCGATTGAGTGTTTTGTTCAATTTTGAATAAAATACTCAATCGGCCGGGCGCCGTAGTGCAAAATCGGAGCAAATGTGTTCAAGGCATAAGTGCAGTCCCTTTCAGAACTCATTGTGTTGGACGAATTTCATCCAATCAATTGGTAGTCAGTGATGCTTGCTGGGACGCTATTGGTTCACTACATTTTTGGATGAATGTGTGTCTCGCGTTCGAGTTGCGTTTATTGTGCATCGTTAAGTTTTGAAAATGAAATGTTGAATGTATAAAATGTAGGTGTTGCACGCATGAGACAAAATTGCGCCACTTCATCGTGTCAAACGCTGGTGGAGCCTCATCACAGTGTACGTACCAAATTAAGCGTGACAGTGACGGTACAACACTACGACGAGGGTGATGCAATTTGAGCAAACTGATGTATTCATCGTTTCAGAAAGATCTGGTCTAATTTCTAGATATTTTTACTATATGAATGTCTGTAGCAATATCCTAGACAGTGAACTTGACGGTGAATTTCATAATTGAACCTACACAAACTCCGAAATGTAGTATACGGCATAACGCGCGGGTAAGATACGGTACAAGGCAAATTCCAATTCCTTGTGTTGTACCTTACCGTTATCGCGCGTTAGTTTGTGTAGGTTTAACTATGACATTCACCGTCAAATTTCACGGGGGTAAAGCAGACCCGATGATGCAATGAGCTTGCTCGGCGGTATCATGACTGTGTAACGGGTCTTAATGTATAAGTGTGCTCGGCGGTAGGTTCAAACAACGCGGATCCTCAAAGCATGTGCTCATGGTATATTCGTATTTTAACACCCGTGAATTTACTGTTGAGGATGTTGTTACAGACATTTACATATCTAGAATATATATGGAACATTTTGGCACACATGTAACTCATGTATTTCAAACCGACAATATTATTTGAATCACAACATTAATATTCATCATCATTACACAAGACAATTGCATTATTTTCATATCCCTAAATGCTCTAAACGATCCCTTCGCTATCTTGGTCCTAATCTTTGGAATGCTCTACCACATGCTATTAAAAAATGCTCCACTCTTAATATTTTCAAATCTTCTTATAAAAAACTACTCATCTATCGATAATAATACCAATCAGATCATACTGTATTGTTGATTTTATACTGGTACCTGATTTTTTGTAACATTTTTATATTGTACATCCTTAGATAAATTGTAAATACCATTTTTATATACCTACATGTAACATAATATAAGTGTTTTTCTTTTATATGTAGTCTAGATGTCATTTTAATAATTTCAGTTAAACCGCAACATATACCCACTAGGGTGTCTAGCGGCTTGTTTTTATAGTGTATGTTATATAAGAATTATGAAATAAATAAAATTGAATTGAATTGAAAAATCTATTATCTCACAATATTAGCAGCCATTTCCAAACATAGACTTTGAATACATTCTGGCTTACCAGATCTACTCTACCTGCCGCTTGAATAGGACTCTATGGAAGTTTAAAGTGTCTCACATATTCGATCAAAATTTGCCATGCAAACATGTTAGTCTACTTTACTGGCCCCCCTTGCTGTAACAAGGAACACAAAACACATTAAAACGTAAACATAAACCAATTTGTCACTTCACTATGAAAGTGAGGGGTGTTAGTGTATTAGCAGAATACTGTGTGCATGGGCTTACTCAATATCAGTGGTCATTTACTGTGTCAACTTAGTAACCCTTGCATATCGTGCTCACTCAAGTATTGAATATTTTTCATGATCTAAATGATTGTGGTTTATCAAAAAAGTGATATATTTTAGTTAGAAATACATTAATAAATATATTCATTCAAATAGCACTAGAATGCGGGAAGAAAGAGCAATGATGACAAAATGCAGACAGATTTTTCCGTAAGGGTTTCAAACATTTCTGGACACAATCATACATGTACTTCATGTGTACTGTTATTTTTAGTGCTGTATTTATAGATATAATTTCACGTATTAAAATCATATTTTCCAGCAATGACTTCAAATTCGGAACCACACCTATATCACATTTTCTTCAATAACTCCAAACATGTGTAAACATTGACCATGTGCATATAAATTCAGATTTCACGAGCTCTTTCCTATTCGAGTACCTCATACACCCCTGCATGGATTTGAGTTGGATTCGCCTTTTATACCTGAGCCGATACACATCGCAAACGCTGATTGGATAAAGATTGCGAGAATCTTTAAGTCAAAAGGTGCGCACTGTAGGTATCGCGGGCCCAAACCTTTCTGACGAGTTGTCTACTCGCTGTTTTTGATTTTGAAATGTTTGGCTATGGGTGGTATGGTATTCTAATTGTTTTTTTTTACCTCGACAGTTAAACAGGCAAATTACATCGAACCCCGTAGAAGCCCGTACGGAGCTCGTTGGATCAACGGGGCCTGTAGAACCTCGTACGGGCCTCGTTACGAGTCTCGTTATTGCTTGTAATTTTCGAGCCTCGTAAGAGCTTGTAATTACAAGGCCCGTAATAGCCCGTTCGAGCTTTGTTATGCCTGTGCGATGCCCGTAACAAGGCCCGTAATGACTCGTAATTTCCGAGCACTGTACTTGCTCGAATGGGGTTCGTAACGAAGCTCGTAATTGTTCGTTTATTTTGATGAACACTTTTTGATCGATGAAATAAAATACAGCATACTTGAGAAATTACATTTCAATTATATCTAATTGTGGCTTAATATGTCTTCAATATTTTCAAAAGATATGCATGTCTGTATCAACATATCGACTTTTACAAAAAGCTTACTTTTCTAAAACATGAAGCCAACTTTGAAAATAAAGCCCGAAAATAATTTGTTTTTTAATTGTGTGACAGGAAAACAGAAGACAAATATTAGAAAAGTATAATATAGTGTATTATATTCAACGTTTAAATTTGTCATGTGTTACTTATGTTTATACCATGCTCTAACACTCTTGACAAAACGTTTTACCAAAATATTTCAAAATTCAGGCATGCATTTTAACAATTAGAAGTGGATATTTGCTTGGTAACAGTCAAGTCGTATGTCTTTGTGTTTGTAGAGAAAAACATGGAAAGAGCAAGACCATCCTCCGAACGCAAGGCTCCAGACATCATCCAATATGCATCATGGAATGCCATGGCCCTCTCTTCTTGTATCATAGGTCAACTACACAGACAGGTATTTAGATGCGATGTGTATCAGAATGTCAAATATGTAGGAAGGAAGAAACTTGTGGATGAGTTCTGGACACCCGGTTTCGGAGGAAGGCATACACTGCATTTGAGTTCATAAAATGAGCGCCAGGACCTAAAATATAGAGCAGGCACTAGCAGATCAGACAAAACATGTTTATAAGCTTAATTGTCACCACAATTATTACTAGTACTGTATATCAATGTCTCTGTATGTTGGTGATTAAGCATCTTTGTCTAACCTGTAATTGAAGAAAAAATCAAATGCAGATATAATCAGACATTAACAAACTTTCCTGTGAGAAGGATTCAGAGCAATTTTTTGGAGAAAGTTTACACTTTAACTTCACATATCTCAACACACTATCATACAAGAGTTATGTAACAACATACGTAATCCTGGGTTGTGTTTTAAAAACTTTATGTTATCCATTGAATTTTCCGATTTCATTTTACATTATTAATAATATTACATTATTGCACTTAAAACTAATACTGCAAGTCTCACATAGTAGAACACAACACTAGGCGAAAGAAGAGTCGTCATATCCCAAGTTTAACAATGTTCCTCCTGTTTTTTTCTTAAGTGGGTGTAATACATGTAGATACATTAAGTGGGAATGGATCCCCTTTCAAGTTATCATAAATCTATCATCAAAATCTGTAGAAAGGGATCACAGGCTTTGTATTATATAACAACTGTTCTGATTTCTCATCTGGCTCCAGCAGTTTAGATTGGTCAGAATCTGCAGACCCCTTAGAAGGATCAATAGTGTTGATGTTGTCATCTTGTGTTGTGGATATGTTTAAATAGTCTGAGGCTTGAGAGTCTAGTCTGGGATTATTAGCATGCTGTTGGTGGAGTCTTAATTCTGGGCAGAGTTCTAGCAGGTATAGTTCTAATATGACCTGAAATTAGAAAAATATGAATTGAAAATACTGAACATGTCAACAGTCAGCAGTAAATTCAATGTAAATACCCATGTATATGCATCCCATCCCATCCCCCTCCTTGGTCACCCCCAAATTCAAAAACCTGGATCCGCCTCTGTCAGTAATTATGAAATCATTTACAGAAAATATTCAAGTACATATTTGATGAGATGTTAAGGAGGTCTGATGGCAAGCACCCACTTTTTTTTAATTTACACTTTTGATTGGAATCGCATTATATCAGCAAAACATGCAAAGGTAAATTCACTGGTACTGTCAGGGATTGAGCCAAGGTTCTGAGAGCAGCTGATCAATTAAGGAATAAATAATGATAGGCCATTCAATATGGTGAAATTCAGCACGAGTTGGACAGAATGTTGTACAAAGCACGAACCGAAGGTGAGTGCATTTGTACTAACATTCTGTCCAACGAGTGCTGAATTTCACCATATTGAATGGCCTATCATTATTTATTCCGATTCAAACATAAAAATTAGTAAAAGCCGTGTCTGTGGAACGGGCATGAAGGAAGAATACGCATGCTGTCAAGATTCTGAAGTCGGCCGGAAGAATTTTAGAATTTGTTTGGGCTGTTCTATTTTACTCCCCGTTTTAGATTTTATACGGTGTATGCAAACATGGGGTGTTGATAAAATAAAAATAAATATAGAGGGAGGAGGGAGTATAAAAGAACAGCTATCCCCGGACAGAGCCCCAGATGTGCAGCTGAGATGTGACGTCACTCAAAACAATGCAAATTGCAGATTGAATAGAGCATGGTCGTGCATCTATGGAGAATTAGAGAACGTTCTATATTGGCTATGCTGCATTCTGATTGGTTGAGAAATTCGAATAGAGCACGGTCATGTTTGAATATGGCATAATGGACCAGTTACCATGCTATTATCCTATACCTTGCGAAAAAATCAACTGGTCCATATCAAAAGTAACCTGGCAATGAACAGTGGACGAGCCCTTAGCTCAAGCACTGGGTACAACCATGTACTGGCCATAACAGACTGATGACACATTATTTTACAAGAGTGAGTTTTTTTACACTTTCTATTTTGAAACATGGCTATTCAATGATCACATAGCTAGAAAGAAACTTACATAGAAAAGTTGTTTATTTCTTCTGACATCTTGAAAAACTTCAAAAATCTTCACCGTGCCTCTAACAGAATTATCTTCCCCAACCAGGTTCTTTAACGCATCTAAAATGTTGAGCGAATTAATGTTAGTCTTGTATCAAATCTCTGGACTCCTCCTTGGGGGAGGTGAAAGTCACGAGGGCTTGAAGCAAGACTATGCTAATACAGAATGACAATACACAAAATAATGCAACCCTATAATCTTGGAATAATTCAAAATGCTCTTTCTACACAAGAACATTCAAGAAGATTCCAAACAAAATTGAGAAATGTCTTCTAAAATCAAAGTATATACTTAAAAATATGTCTTATTAAACAACGCAACATACCTGGAATGTTTTCAAGACATAAATCTTTAGCATGAAGTCTGGTTTTCAGCTTCTCCTCATCTGACCTCTCAGGAAGAGCTGGAGCAAGTTGACCCTAATATGAAAAACATACAATATGACGATATGATCCTCATTGGAATAAAATACTATTATAGAGGCTGTGCTTATAGAAATAGATGATTTTTCGCTGGGATGTGCAATCTTTACATTGGTGCATATACAATAACAATTCTCGAAATCGCTGTTCCCTCTTCAAAAGAGAAGAAGCGAAAATCTTTCCTTATAAGGGCAAAATATTTCCCATGATGCAGTTCGCGGAGGAACAAATTTATACTTCATTATTTTCCCTCATAGGTTTAACATGGGGATTTTCACACCTATTTTTCAAACGATATATTCGTTCATATTCCCGTACGAGAGTACAGAAAAAATTATTAGAAACGATTGATCTCTCATTAATCTTAATATAACATCTATTTTTTTTCATTGTATTAATTCATAGCGTGGTGAAAACGACGATTGAAAAGTAAGAAAATATTCCGGAAGAGAAGGTCACGTGATCAGTAGACTAGTCGCCATATTGGAAAAAACAATTCCATTCGACTTTCAATACTTTCATGCCAATCTTACCGCACTACAAACTGCAACATCGATACAACAACTGAATAAAAGTATTCATCTTCAAATTACATTATAGAGTTACGTTGAAAACCCACAAACAACTGAGCAGTAGACCAAAGAAGACGCGTCGCTATTATATAGGTCAAGCTGTTCAGTGGTCCGAAAGCAAATCTATAGTACTCGTTTCCGAATTTTGTTGTTCATTGTACAATCTTTTATTGATTAAACTCGGTATACTGACTATTAAAGCAATGACAAAGAAGAATACTTACGATGGTGTCATTGTTTTATTTAGCGTGCGGGTATAAAAACAAAATTGAGTAATTAGTTTGATTTAGAACTTTCGTGTCACGCAAATAGCTACGCGAAATGCATAGTGGGAAAATATTGATCAATCAAATTTTGTCCTTTTTGAGTGCTTTTTCAGTGCATATTTGCGAACGTTCTGATTCTAAGAGCGAACCGCGAAAAGGAGAATTATTTTTAAGACATCTGTATATATGAGTTTAGAGGGAGATGCATACATATGAAACACTAAGTAGTTAATTGTCCAAATATGACATGCTAGAGACCTCATTCTAAAAAAAGGTTTAAACGAGTACTAAGGGGCTTTAATGAAGATTCCTCATCTTTGAAAGTAATTGAAAATTATAAAAAATAATCATAGTATATTTGTTTGAATGAAGATAAACACCTTGTTAACCCCTTGGTAACACCTTGTGAAACAGACAAAGAAATAATCTAGATATTACTCTATACAGAGTGACACAAAAATACGATGATCTAATTCTAGAATAGCTCTTTCAATTATGATGAAATCTCCATGACTCACCTGATCTTCATGATCTCCCCAACTGCACACAATAATATTGTTTTATGCATTCAAAAACTTCACAAAAAGAGAATTCTATTACAATTGAGAGTTCAAATTTTGTTTCACCCTGTATTTTCAGTTAGATAATAGGGTTACATATTTTGATCACCCTGTATTCCCAAATAGATAAACATATACGTTACCTGGGGCCATAAGGAGTCCCTGAACAGATGTATATAGTATATCAACATTGACTCACAGAACAACCAATCAACAGTCTCTCTGAGTTGTCTGAAAAGTAGAACAAGCGACATTAATAAAGTAAAACATGTCATAACTAACCTTCATAATCATAACCCCTTCTATATTTTTCAAAGGGGTATAATGATGTATTCCGGCAGTTATTTTCATCTGAGACTAACATAAATGTTATATGTTAGTCTCAGTTTTCATAGGGACTAGTTTGACAGAATAACAGAAAGATGGCAGTACTTGTCCCTCTATTAATATAGAGAAGATATATACAGACAGATGACTACTGCCGTGACAATATTCAACTCTTCATTTACCTTAGTCAAAATACAATAAGTTAAAATTACATTATCCAATATTGAAGTCTTATTCTTATGTGCAGCAAATCCTATCCAAAAATACAGTCCTAGTACTTTGAAACATATGAAGAAGTTTATGCTAAACATTGTGTTTAATTACCCTGGCCTTACCTGTTGATAGACCTCCCAAAGGAGACTTGAACAAACATGATGAGAGTGCGCCTGAGCCATTTGAAGACACCCTTCAACTGGAATACCTCTCCAATAAATAAGTAAAGGGGACCAGCAATAGAATCCTTGCTCTGGTCATCTTTTGATCTGAAATAACAAACACAATTTCAGTACTACTTTTTTTGCAACTGGTTTAAATAAAAGTAGTGGTGTTGAGGGAGATACTAATTTGGGAAGGGGGAAATGTGAAGGTGCGGCAGCTATACTTCATTTTTTTCTCATACTGCTCATTTTTTAACTCCACTAGACAGTTTTTACTTTATTAAAAACATTTCATTTAGCATTTCATTAGTGGTAACATCAATGAGTACTACAATGGCATCAAAACAGATATATGGGAGATAATAGGGATGCTTTAGGTTTTTGCCTTTTTTATTGTACAATACTACATGTAATACAATGCATCTCATTTTGATGTTTTTTTTTGGAAAAATGAGTACAAATTGAATCATTCAAAACGTGTGACTTTCTTTAATTCCAACAGGATCATAGAAGACATGCTTTCTTACGTTTCTTCATCAAAGAATAGTAGCTCATCTCTGTTTTCTTTGCTCTGCTGGGACATGCTGGAAGAGACAATACTAAATAAAGTACAATACTAAATACTGTATTGAAAGCAAAAACTAACGAAACATTAACAGGCAAATGTCACTGTCATTTGTTACAGATGCCTTTTCAATTCAATTCATTTGTCCTATTCTGAGAGGAATTAATTACAACTGAACCCCAGGTTGACATAATGAATAGAGCCTAAATGTAAGTTCTTTTTTTCTTCATTTTAGTTGTTGTATTGTTTTTAACATTAATACCTAAGTGATTTAATTTTTTGGCACCATCTAAAAAATAAAAAGATTGCAACATTAAAATGTATGGTTTTTGTTATATGCGAGTTTACCTTCTGAATATGTTTGGTATAATGCTTCTTGTTCTCTTGATGCCTTCTGAAGCCTGCTTTAGGTATTCTGGACTGGGTGAGAAGAATGCATATACTGCTTCACTCTGGGAGAGTCTGTCATCCTTAAGTATGGCCTAAATAGAGTGCACATGTATGTAGTCAATGTCTGATTCTTGAGAACATTGTATGGTAGATTACAATAGTTGTACTTCAGTTGACAATCCTGTAGCAAGTGGGGCTTCGAGGTGTTCTCAGTGGCGTAGCGTGGGTATTTTGTGAGTGTACGCCGCGAGTAAGCGAAATAGACGTGCTTTGAGGGGGGTTCGGGGGAGGTCCCCACAAGAAAAAAAAGAAAGTGAAAAAGAAAATGAGATAGCATTTGAAGCGTTTGGGGCATTTGAAATACGAAATTCCGACTATTATGGACGAATAGAATGTAAATCATTAGCCATTTTTGAAGTGTGGGGCAAATCAGTATAAAAATCAACTGTTTTCTAAATTTTGAGAGTACGCCATGGCGTTTTATGCGTATATGACGCTACGCCATTGGTTCTTATGAACCCCCTGGCAACCCCCCTGACATTTTTCTGAAAAGTGAACCCCTTTGGAAAAAGCTGGCTATGGGCCTGGTTGATTTCAATTCATGAGGTAATGTTCAGAGGCAAAGTAACTATGGTGTGAAGTATGCCTGAGTTCTGCTATTATATATTATGTAGAATCACAATGGGCAACATACTAAAATTTTTAAAAACAAGACCAGGCAAATTAAAGATTTATTCAGTCCTGCATACATGCCATGTATAATTGTATATAAGCTACAACAAAATGCTCATGTTTTTCAGTTTGTATACAGGACTTTCTTACCTCTAGATAATCATTAAGCAAGACTTTTGCCTTCTCTAGGAATGATGTGTCGATGGATTTGGAAAATATCTTACTCTTCACTGGCAGTTCTTTCTTCTTTAGCCATGGTGTGATCTATAATCACCAAAAATCATAGAGTTCACCAAATCCATAACTCTCCGATAAGTTTTCAGCGAGGGAAAGATAATATCAGTTAAGGATAATATCAATTAATGATAATATAAAGTAAGGATAATATCAATTTAGGATAAAATCAATTAAGGATAATATCAATTTTGGATAAGATCAATTAATAACATAAAGCAAGGATAATATCAATTTAGGATAATATCTGCTATATCTGAAAAAACTGCTATATAGTTTTGCTACATTACTTGTATGAGTTTCTCATGTAGAGCGTGGAAGTCCTCCAGGGTTCTAGATATGACCCAACCCTCTGCACTTCTTCTAGACTCTGATGTGTCAGCATGGTGTGTCTTCCTGCTTGGTGTGTCATGGCTTGGCATGTCAAGTGCTGAGTGTTTTGATAGCTCTATTTCTGATGTGTTGATGATGATTACAAAGTATGGCCTTAGTTTGTCCTGCTCAGATAGAACCTGAAAAAGAAATAAATATTTTATTTCAATTCAATTCAATCTTTTCATCTGACACTGTTTTAAGCATAAGAGGTTGATTGCTCTTATGCTATCTACTGTACTACTCACATGCACTTTACTTGGGTGTAAGTTTATGTCACCTGTGTCAAGTGTCAGGCCAGGTTGATTACATTTTTTGGGATCACTCAATGATGTCAATGGATGATGGAGGTAAAAAATGAGGTTTAAGATATGATTGAACCTGCAGACCAAATCAGGATTTTGGCCAGGGAAATATTTCATTCTAAGTTGTTTTTTCTGTATTCTTTATTTAAACAGCTCCTTGTTTAGCATTACACTGACATAATAGTAACACATATACTATATAGTAGCCCGGACAGAATTGTTCAATGGTCATTTTTTCATAAATAACTTTTTTAATTTTCAGTATTATCAGAATCTGATCACATATTTGAAAACTAGAGTAAAATTCTGACATACAAAAAAAATATTTAAGGAACATCTCTTAATTAATTGATATCATAGGCATTCATAGAATGACTGATGAAATACATAATTCATCATTTTGCCTCATATTTGTTCAAAATGGCGGCATATTTTGGGAATTTGAATGTTCAGTTGAAAATTTATATTTAAAAATTGTCATAGTACTATAGGGCCATGCTGCCACCGTTACAATCCTTATGTAATGCAGCAACTGACCAGTCATCAAATACAAGAAGTCAAATCCCTCCAAGGGTATATGAAATCAACTCTATTGAAATGTTTGGGGTTGTGTTCAAGAGGATGTGAAAAGATGGCGCCCTAATGCGTGGGATGTGATGAGAGTAGGTCCTTAATCTTTTCAAGAGCTCCAAGCTTAACAGCCATCTCAGAGGCCATTGAAAAGCTGAAGAACAATTCACATGCATACCAAGGATGGGTAAAGAGACATGTGACTGGGAAAGATATTACAAACTGTGGCAGTATGACCCTATAGTTACACGGGTTCAACGAACTAGGGTTGCTAATCCACTGCGAGTTACAATGGAATGGCCAAAAAACTTTAAGTGCTGCGACCGTACCAATATACTGTTATGTACAAACCTTTTTATTATGTACTGGTATACATACAAGGCAATTTAAAAAAAGGCTATAAATGCAGTCATTACCTCATACCAAGGCAGCGGTCTACATGATTTTGTAGGCCTATGACATTTCTTAAATATTAACTTTGATTTTAACTGAACATTCAAACCATAAAACATGCCGTCGTTTTTTAACAAATATGAGACAAAATGGTGAATTATGTATTTGCGTCACTCATACTATGAACGCCTACAATATCAATAAATTAAGAGATGTTCCTTAAATATTTTTTTTGTATGTCAGAATTTTACTGTAGTTTTTAAATATGTAATCAGATTTTGATAATACTGAAAATTAAAAAAGTTATTGAAGAAAAAGTGACCATTGAACAATTCTGTCCGGGCTACTATGTATAACTTGTAATTATTAATTCATGCGGTCAATTTTCAAAATTGACGCAAATGTTGCAAAACCTAGGCAAATCATACTGAGCGTATTGTAAATGTAACATTTAGAAAAAATAAACAGAAATAAAAAAAATAACTAAAAAATAACTGACCTCTGTATTAAATACAGAAGCTTTCCAGTCTCCCACATTCTCACTCCAGTCTTCGGTGCGATCGATGTGGAACTCTAGTTGACGTTTGTTTGCTTCTAGCCCTTCTATCTCATTCTCTATTTCTTCCTCTAGTTTCAATATCTGGAAGTGGAATCATGGTTAGATAAATACAAACTGAGATACAAGACAATCAGGAATTTTAACATATTAATTGAGAATAATAATGAATTCTCAGTCCTCAGTACATGTAGATATATTTGGATGTAAGACAATTAAAAAAGTAAGGTAATCATCGATTTGCAAAAATCTAAATGGAAACATTCTATAAAGAAAAAGTTGACCTGCAAGGAGTTACATACTGACATGGTAGATGAATCACATTTTGGTGGTTTCTCAGGCTAGACCTACTTGATTGAACACTTAATATTTCTTTTTGACAACCTCTCTCGGATTTTTAAATTGAATGTTGGTTCATCAGTTGATTTGGAACAATGGGTTATCAGTAACTCTCACACAAAGTAACCATATTGACTGTTCTTTCTTTTACCTTTGGATCAGACTTCTGCGATGCTTTCAATGCTTGGAGAGCCTGGGTCTTATTCATTAACTTTTCATCAATCTTCTCCAACTTCTGTTGAGCATAGAATGACTGGTCAGCAATGAAGTTAGCTGGCTGTTCAATGTGTTCAAAGTCAGGAGACAGTGGGGACCTGGCCTCTAGCAGATCATCTTAAACATAAAACAAGGCATTAACATGACAAAAAATCACCACCTAGTTGCTCACAATATTATGAGTTCAATCTTAAGTCAGATTTGAATTTCTTAGAACTTGTAGATGATTTTGAAAAAGTCAAGTGGTCAATTTGAAGCAAGATGAAAAGACCTTTTTGACCTTGAGAAGGTCATTGAAGTTTGACCAATTACAAATTTCAATATTTACCCGAGGAGTCCAGCGACCAGCTGTCTGCATCCCTAGCAACCATATACTGATGATAGATGTCACTGACGATGAAGGAATGATAATGTTGCTCCTCAAGTATGGCGTAGATCTCACCCTGGGCAGTGAAGAAGGCCTCAGGGCCCTGCAGTTAAATGAATACAAATTATTTTGAATCTCATATTCAAATACTTTGTGAGTTTATGGTTCTCAAAATTAGTGAAATGTTTCTTCTTAATGATAATTAGATATAAGGGAACATGGGGCAAAGCGGCCCAAAAAATTTAATTTTAAGTTGTTCTGTACGGGGTATTTTCGTATCTGTCAATCATCGCGCACTTTGATGTTCCACTTTATTAATGGTTTGTGGTTTACATTTTTCGAGTGTTTTATACTTTCCTAGGACTATCTTCTGTGATTTTTCAATGGTCAAAAATATTGTCGAGAGTGGGGCAAAACGGCCCATGGGTGGGGCAAAACGGCCCACCCTCTGTTACATGGGTTTTGAAACCAAAATTAATCAATTACAAGACTCGTCCACAAACATCTTATCTCAGACGTTCAAACCTTTGACAGATAAAGTATTCTTAACCCCTATCATAATTCTAGTCATTCGATATGTGTCGGAAGGAAATAAGGCACAAGCCAGATGTTAAAATTGTTACATTTGAAAACCAATTGTTCTTGCACAATAAGATTTTTGTATGTTATAACATGTGTGGGCCGTTTTGCCCCAAAGACATGTGAATTTTCAAATAGACGTCATTTTAATTTGCCTAATATTTGAAGCTCGAAATTTTTACAAATAAAGAATAAATGTGCACACTCTATGTAAAATGTTAAATCAAAACGATATTCTATTGTTGCCGGATTTTTTAGAGATTCTCGTGAGAGGGGTAATTTCCAAAAAAGAGGGTAAAAAGTAGAATTACCTCTTACGTAAAGCGAGACGCTGCTTGGTTAAAAATGGACGGTCGAGAAGGTGGCAGATATTTCAAAATTCGATTTTGTGACTTTTGAAGAACCATCTTTTTATAGTTCAAAAGATATTTCGATGGGCAACTTTGCCCCAGAGGGCCGCTTTGCCCCATGTTCCCCTAAATACTAACTACTGTGTAACCTCTTTTTACCACCCCTTATATAAATGTCAAAGCATGCACTTGGAGTATGAAAGTAAAAGCCATACTGAAAGTCCCATACATAAGAAGCAAGGCATTGACATGCAAAATGTCAACACATGCTGTTTGTTAAAGATGCCACATACTAACTGCTAGATGCCAAACACCGAACACCAACCACAATCCACAAAAAAGTTGGAGACTATAACAATAATGCCATCATTTTTGGTGGTGACACAAAACAAAAATCTACTAAAACAAAAATAAAATCTACTATAATTGATAACTTTCTATAAATGACCTGCCAAGGCTGCCAACGGAAGGCTGTACCATACCTGGTTCCCTATGAGGAAAGCTTCCATTCCCTTGATTGTAGCTCTATGAAGATAAAGTTTCACCACACTGGTCTGACTGACCAGGTACATCTGGTAGATCTCTGAGGCTAACTTATGCTGATACTTTCTCCCTGTCGACTTTAGTCTCCCTGTGGCTATCCAGAACCTAAAATGAAATATCACATGCCACAATGACAAGGCATTATAACATGCAAATTGTTATCACCTGCTATTTGATACAGACGCCAAACTTCAAACACCAACACTGAACACTGTCCACAAAAAAGTTGGAGACTACAACAATATGTCATCACTTGTGGTGGTAAAACTAATTTGACAAAATACGTTTCAATTTTAACACAACACATTTGCATACAAGTGCCATTAAAATGTTTAAATGCACCCTCTTAGTTAAAGCTTACTTCCAATGAAATAACACAAGGGAAAATTACTTGCTGTTCTTTTTATTATTGGAATGATTGGAAGAATCTGGGCATATTTTACCTTTGTGTGCAAAAGGCACATGTAGTATGAGGCAAAGTTACTCAAAATTACAACTTTAACATAAAAGCAATTGCAAAATTGCTCAGTATAAGTAATTTAGAAAAAATGGGGAACAACAACCAGACAAAAACTCCTGTTGCCTGCTCCTAAAAAACCTTGCCCGAGTACAGTAGACTTACCCAAGCAATGAATGATTGTCATCAATCTGTAGATATTTCATAAAGTGATTCCTGGCAATTTCGGTGTTCATGATCAATGAGAATGAGAGTATCTGAAACAAAATAAATCATATAAAAGTATGTGTATGAAAGGAATAGACGGATCGAACATAAAGAGCTGCAAGATTTTATCAAGACATGAAAAATGTCACAATCTTTTTGAGTATCATACTTTATGTAATACATCGCAATAGTAGCAGACATTGCCTCAAATGTAAAGACTTTCAAATTGCATGTTAGCTAAAAGTGTTTTTTCTCAAACTAGTACTATATTAGACAAAATGTACACCACTCCATGCTGATAACTTAAATAATATAAAAAGTCAGATTATTTCTGGGATGATATTCCTTGTCAAGGTTAATTTCTTTTTTCTTTATTTCTGGAAAATCTATTTTGAATGAAAAGGTAAGGTTCAATTGTATGTATCTATCAAAGAATATATCATCATATTTCCTACCTTCTGTCCTGGAATGTTAACAGTGTCAGCGTCCCCTGATTTTTCACTGGAGTCTGTGTAGTCGGGGCCTCCCAACATTGTTATACGTTTCTCACAGTTGTTTTTAGATACTGTCAGCTGCAAAAGAAACCATAGTTAGGCTACAGCAATTAAATTCTAAGTTAAACATTAGATTGCTTCTTTAGAAGGAGTTTTCTTTTCTTTGTTAATTACAAAACATTAAAATTGAAATAAAATGAAAACTGGGAGAAATGGAAAATTTAATTTTCTATATATCAGTTCCTAATATGTTACGTACATGCTGGTGAATCTGAGAGCTTTGTTTCCGATATTGTTCAAATAGCATTTCAAAACTACAGTTTAGAATGTTCACAACTGGCAAACCTCTCAGACCATTATGAAAACCTTAACATGCTGAGTACACCACATGCATTTCTATTTCTACACCCCCCCCCCTAATATATATAATCCAAACCTGATTAATGTATCTCTTAAGGTTCCTAGCTTTCAGCAAGTCTCCTTTAGTAGTCCCCTTGGGTGATATTTCCTTCTCAAGGTCTATCCCCTGTGCCCTCTTCAGGTTGTTGATTGTTGTTGCTTGCATAATCTCAGCTATTATGCTATACCTGGATGTAAATATTATCTAAAACTAGTTTTACTTTTAAATGTATAATTACAGTAACACCTGTGTAGGAGGAATACTTTTGGTACCTCTAAGAACACCTTGAAATGTGTTCAACTTATGGAGTTTCTAGTGAAAGATCCCCTGAACTGATGTTAATTTACATAACATAACAAGGTTTAGTGATATGATATCTTAACTATGAAAATAATATTAGCATTTTGTTTTGTTTACTCAATCAATGTGGATTCATTCTTAAATTATCAAGTTGAAGTTGGACCAAAAGAAAGCTTGTGAAGCATGATGAGGAAATATGATAACATAACTTTGGGGGAAAACAATAAGGTGGACCTTGCTTAACTCATTGCTGGCCAAAGCTATTTTGGAGATTTTCTGCTGGTGACTGGCCATTTTGAGGAAAAATTAAGCAAAGGATGATTCTCGGTTTGGAGAACGAAGTTCTTCAATCTAAATGAGCATTATCCCTGCTTCGGACAAATTTGATTTTTTTTACATAATATAGATTTGAATGTCTTCTTTTGAATAGTCATAATTTAATTTGGGTATTTAAATATTTTTTAGATTTTTCGCAAAAAAATATTAGCGCAGTACACTGATGAACTTCTTTCCCCAAAATCAAGACTTGTATTCTATTGAATCAGTCTAATTGAGCATTATCCCTGCTTCAGACCAATTTGTTATTTTACACCTTGTAGATTTAAATGTCCTCTTTTGAATATTCATAGTTTAATTTTGGTAATATTTCTATATTTTTCATGAAAAAAATTATTAGCCCAGGAGACTGTTCTCCAAACCGTGAATCGTCCTTTGCATGTTTTCATATAAGCATAAAATGGACTGTATCAACACCCTTTGCGCTATGTATTATGCCATTGTGAAGCCAATGACAATATCTCAATTGCAACAATGTTCCCATAGTGACCCCTACCATGTAAGATTATTGGTACAGATTATGTGACAATTACTGGACAGCAACCCAAGATATCTCGGGTTGGTCAGATAAGATTATGATGTCCTAGACGAAATATTTCGGGGTTGGTCAGATATGATTATGATGTCCTAGACAAAATATCTCGGGGTTGGTCAGATATGATTATGATGTCCTAGACAAAATATCTCAGGGTTGGTCATATATGATTATGATGTCATAGACAAAATATCTCGGCGTTGGTCAGCAATGAGTTAAAAATATCAAAAATGATTCACCTCATTTGCTGCAGATGGTCTATATCCATACATGTCTCTATAATCTTCATGAAGTCCTCATAGGATGCAGCATAGGCATATGTTCTCTTGTGTTCTGTCAAAAGTTTCTCCCTGTACTCATAGTATGACACTAGTTTCTGATTTATATAGTCAGGGTCACATATCATATCCACTGTAGGCTTCAAAACTGAAGTAGATATATAATATACATACAGTACAGTGCATGTAGATTATTACAAATGTATTAGTTTGGGGTTTTAGCCTTCTCCTTGCTGTTCAACAAATAAAATCAACAACAATGCATTGCCATGCATAATGTCACAACCTACCATTTGTTACAAATGCCGAACATCAATCACCAAATGCTGACTGCCGATCACTTAAGGTATGGTGATATAAAAATTAGAACCAGAACAACGGCAGCGCCAAAGCGTAGCGAATCCCATCGAATGGCTGGTATTTTTACATACAAAATATAGCAAATATCATAAAATAACACCCATAAGAAAGGGCAACATTTTCAAAATGGTTGATCACTAGCCAATTTGTCATCAGAAGAGGTAATATGCTTTTAAGAAGCCACATATAAAAATTTTTAAAAATCGCCAATGCTGGCTATTTTTTAAAATGGCCCCTTACTACTCAAAATGTCATAATACAGTATGCATTCCTTACTAGATATAGTATTCACATATCAAATATGAACAAAATCACACTATTACTTTTTGAGTTATAATAAAAAATGTGAAACAATACACATAAAAATGGTGGCCATTTTTCAAAATGGCCGTCTACTCCCAAAAGTTTAACCAGAACAACGGCAATGCCAAAGCGTAGCGAATCCCATCAAACAGAAATGGCTGGCATTTTTACAAACAAAGTATATAGCAAAAATGGCCACCTTCTAGCAAAAGTGTCATTAGACAGTGTGCCATGCTTATAGTATTCACATACAAAATATGAAAAAAATCGCTCTGCTACTTTTCGAGTTATAGTAAAATACATTAAAATGGTGGCCATTTTTCAAAACGGCCGCATTCTACCAAAAGTGTCATTAGACAGTGTGCCATGCTTATAGTATTCACATACCAAATATGAACAAATCGCTCTACTACTTTTCGAGTTACAGTAAAATACGTTAAAATGAAATGGCAGCCATTTTTCAAAATGGCCACCTTCTACCAAAAGTGTCATTAGACAGTGTGCCATGCTTATAGTATTCACATACCAAATATGAACATAATCGCTCCACTAGTTTTCGAGTTACAGCAAAAATCGTAAAATAACAAGTAAAGGCTGCCATTTTTCAAGATGGCTGCCATGTGCTTCTTTAATATCTATATTTTAAGCTTTATTAATGTCCTATATAATTTTTTTACATTTAAAACATATTGCTATAACAGTTTTACATATTGCACCTAAATTACGGTAAAATCGGCACTAAAATGGCCGCCATTTTTAAATGAGCTGCCATTTTGAAAATTGGCTTTCGAGCAGAACTTCTACCCCCATAGGGTATATGTGTACAAAATATGAACAAAATCAAGGCCAACGGTATTTGAGTAATTGCCCGGACAGACGGACGTACGTACGGACGGACGGATGGACGGACGGAGGCATTCCCTATATCCCTCCGAACTTCGTTCGATGGGATAATTAGACAATGCGCCATGCTTAAAGTATTCACATATCAAATATGAGCAAAATCGCTCCAATATTTTTCGAGTTATAGTAAAAAATGTAATGAAGGACCTAGGGTTCCAGTTTGGAACTTTCAGAGGAATGTATATACTGACTTTCAAACAAAAATATTGATTTGGATTTGTAGTCTCGAACTTTGAGAAACTAAGATAGCACAGTTGTGTGACATAGATTGATGACCTTTGACCTTGAAAGTTTTACTAGTTCAGAGCTCAGTAAGGTCTTTTGGGATTAAGCTGACCAAAATTTACATCCAAAAATCAATTTGAAAAATCAACTTTTTGGACCTTTCAAAGGTCACTGAAGGTCAAGTAAAGATCAAATCCTAAAACAAATGTCAGATTTAAACTCCTGGCAACTTGTAGATGATTTTCAAAAAAAGATTTGGTCAAATTGAAGCAAGTTAAAAAATAACTTATTTTTTCTGATTTTTGATGTCAAATATCTCAAAAACAGTAAAAATTTGATGCTGACATATATTGAGCAATATGTAGGGAATGCTTAAATCTAGTAATGATGTAATTCATTGCAAGTAATGATCAAGTATAAGGCAAACTTTGAGAAACTTGTCAATCACAAAACCTGCCATTGACTTTATACATGAGAAAGTTTCTTGAAAATGACCAAGTCCTACTTTTTGTCAAATTTTATAGAGTAAAAACCAAAAACTGTAGTTCCAAGAGCTTTGAAATCTTCAGAGGACATAAGTTTGCTTATACAGCAAATACTAAAAGTTATTTGAAAGTTCTACTTCAACAAAGTGTCTAGTATTTACAGAAAATTTGACTTTTTGACGTCAAAATCCGCAATTTCTCGGAAACCGGGCGAACTTGGGAAATGACGATGATAGGTCAAATAGCCATTATGGATATGCATAAAATGAATGTGGATATGACTCAATCCGAATAGCAGTTTTAATTTGTGCGGCCAATGTTGACGGACGGACGGACCAGCGGATGGACCAACAAACGGACGGACCAACAGATGGACGGACACCTGGTCGATCCCATAGGCTCACTGTGTGAGCCAAAAATGACAGCCATTTTTTTAAATGACTGCCTATTCCCTATATTCCCCCGAACTTCATTCGATGGGATAATAAAGGCACATAATCAGCCATAAATTCTCTTGCAGCAAAGTCTAAATACACAATTTGTAACATATCAATGACATCAATCTGAATCTGAATCATTCTAACTTGCAATAGTGAAAAATTACAGTACAGTTCCTACCTTTTAGTTTGTTTACTGTTCAGGACTGAAGATTTTCAATGCAAAATGTTCCTTTAAGATATTTAATACAGAAAAGTTCCAACCAATTTGTACACTCAGTTATTGGATATTTTTGACACTTTCATTTAAAGCACGAAATTGGCCAATTTAAGAATAAGTTTATTAGTGTAATTCTTCACCTCTTCATATTGATACAAGAAACATGTACCCTGCTAAATCACCCAGATTGAATGACCAAGCAAGCAATAAATGATATTATTAAATCAATCCTATTACATTTTAACCAATAAAGTGATTCATCACATTCAGAAATTGCAATGTTAAAATTTGTGTTTTTTAATGATTATATTTTTCACTGCTTCTAACTAAAAAGCTGAAAAACATATCTTAAAGTTAAAAAGTTAAAACCATTACTTCTGAATTTTGAATTTACCTTGTCTCATTATCAGTCCAATGAAAAGCCTACAACTCAGTATACCAATGATTGTTTTATGAGGTGTGCTGGAGCTCGACTAGGGTCTAGTCAGAGCTTGTGTCAGGCTGGGCAGAGCTTAGACATGGTTGATATGTCGGATCACTGACAGTGGCTGGGTAAAACCAACCTTGTCTTTTGACCTGACACTGCTCGTGTCTGGGATTGGGGTGTCCACTGGTGAGGGTGATGGGAACAGAGCAGCTCAGAACACCAATGATTGTCTTATGAGGTGTTCTGTAGCTTGACTGGAATCTGGTCATAGCTCAGTACACCAATGATTGTTTTATGAGGTGTTCTGTAGCTTGACTAGGGTCTATTCATAGCTCGTGTTCCCATGTCTGGGATTTGGGTGTCCATGGGAAAATTTTGCCCATGGGGGAAGGTGATTTACAGGGAGGGTCAAATTGGGTAAAGAGGTAGTTTGGGAGAGTTGTCCAAGGAAGGATATGAACAGCTCTCCAAAATTACTCCTGAAGCCAATGACCCAAACCCTGTAAGTCACCATCTTCCCATGGCAGGGAAAGGGGGATTCCCCCTATCTCCCTCCCCCTGTCTCCCTTTATAGTGGAGAGGGAAAAGGGGGAGGGAAAGGGGGTGAGGGAAAAGGGGGGAGGGAAAGGGGGAGGGAAAGGGGGGAGGGAAAGGGGGGAGGGAAAGGGGGGAGGGAAAAGGGGGGAGGGAAAAGGGGGGAGGGAAAAGGGGGGAGGGAAAAGGGGGGAGGGAAAAGGGGGGAGGGAAAAGGGGGGAGGGAAAAGGGGGGAGGGAAAAGGGGGGAGGGAAAAGGGGGGAGGGAAAAGGGGGGAGGGAAAGGGGGGAGGGAAAGGGGGGAGGGAAAGGGGGGGAGGGAAAGGGGGGAGGGAAAAGGGGGGAGGGAAAGGGGGGGAGGGAAAGGGGGGGAGGGAAAAGGGGGGAGGGAAAGGGGGGAGGGAAAGGGGGGAGGGAAAGGGGGGGAGGGAAAAGGGGGGAGGGAAAAGGGGGGAGGGAAAAGGGGGGAGGGAAAAGGGGGGAGGGAAAAGGGGGAGGGAAAAGGGGGGAGGGAAAAGGAGTGAGGGAAAAGGGGGGAGGGAAAAGGAGTGAGGGATATATCAGTCGGAGAATTCTGGCGATCTACGAAACTCACTTCAAAAAATCAAATTCGGACTGACGGCGTATTTCTACTATGCTGGGATCTAAGATTTTCAGTATAGATAAAGTCTTTTATGATCTTTCGAATGAGGTAAGTCTCTAGTTCTAAAGACAATCGTATCAACTTGAAAAAAAGTTGACTTTGAAGAAAAATTTTAACATGCGCAGAAGTCCCATTTTCGTTGTACCATATTGACTGTATAACTTTTTTACATTCAAAACATATTACTATTACTGTTTTATATGCAGTACCTAAATAACTGCAAAATTGGCACTAAAATGGCCGCCATTTTTAAATGAGCGGCCATTTTGAAAATCGGTTTTTGAGCAGAACTCCTACCCCCATTGGGTATATGTGTACAAAGTATGAACAGAATCGGGCCAACAGTATTTGAGTTATTGCCCAGACGGACAGACGGACGGACTGACGTACGTACAGATGGACGGAAGGAGGCGTTCCCTATATCCCTCCTAACTTCGTTCGATGGGATAATAATTGTTAAATTAATATATGTTTTATATATGAAGTTACCAGAGCAAGCTATAAGTTCCCGTAACAGCTGCCTACAGCTGTCATTCTCCCTGTACTTGGGTGGTAGCATTGTTAATAGGAGTGTTTCTGTGATGTGACGTAAGAAATCAATCTCCCTCTCTTCACTGGCTAACCATGGCAAGAGACGGAACTTAACCTTCTCTCCATCTGAACCTTTCCTGAAAGAATATGCCACATAGAGTACATGTTACAGAGTGTCACAGAGAGAGGAAGCAGAATTTGTCAATTTTTTCCCACTTGTGAAGGTGACGTGTGTAGAGACCACGGGAATGGTCACAACTAGCCTTTGATTAACTTGTGGATGTAAGATGTGTGTTCGGTCATAACTTTTGCTTGAAGCAAGACATGAAGGTAAGGTGTATAAGGGGAGGGGGTCACAATTGATGATTGACTTGTGATTGTGAGGTGAGGGTTACAACAGTGGTGACAAGAGAAAGTGTAATTGACATGGTAACAATGGTTACTTCACCAGGGAGGGGGTCACAATTGATCATTGACTTGTGATTGTGAGGTGTATAACAGGGTCACAACAGTAGTGACAACAGAAAGTGTAATTGACAGGGTCACAACAGTAGTGACAACAGAAAGTGTCACTGTATGTAAGCTGAAGACTTGTTAGTCATTGTTAGTTGAACGACTGTACATAAGTTAATCTTACCCAGCAGATATCTTGACTTTTTCAAGGTGCTCTGTCATTTTCTCAACAGCATCCTGTGCCATGAACTTCACCATGTCAACCTTAACCAGTCTGTCTCTCAGGTTGCCTAGCAACTGCCAGATATCTTCACTGTAATGCAAACATCAAACATTGTTACCATGTCAACATTAACCAGTTTCTCTCTCAGGTTGCCTAGCAACTGCAAGATACTGTCAATGTAATGCAAAAATCAAATATTGTAACCAGGTCAACCTTAACCAGTCTGTCTCTCAGGTTGCCTACCATCTACCAGATATCTTCACTGTAATGCAAACATCATACATTGTTACCATGTCAATTTAAACTAGTCTGTCTCCTTTTAACTAGAATTGATCTCTCATAGCAAGTAAGATGAAAATCACTTTGCGAGACAATATAAAATTAAAGAAATAACGATTTTTCAATTCTGCATACTCACTGCATTGTTGTCAGTAGTGATTGTTGGTCTATACTGAGATCTTTATACCATGTAAGCACATAGTCCCTTAGAATGTAATCCAAAACCTCTTGAATTGCAACATCTAGGTTACTTGATATGACAACTTTTGGCACAGGAGGTTTCTCTTGCTGTCTACCGCGCTACAAAATCATTATAATATTATATAGATAATAAAACGTATGGGATTAGTTTTGTGAATGGATTAAGTACACACAATTGTTAAATTTCATTAATTGTATAACTCACCATAATTCGAGTTAGGAGAGCATGTGCTACAGTCCCAGCCTGCTCAACAGGAGGAGGATGGTACTGCTTCCCAGAACACAACATCATCTCAAAACCCAACATTGCTCCAATAAACGGCACTATGATATAGATGCTCCATCGTATCAGAGCCAAAGTCACTCCAGTATATAGAGACCAACTCAGTATGACACTAACAGCAGCTGCCAAACATAAAACTTTCCCCATCTCAGCTTGATACTTCAACTAAAGATGCAGATGTAAGGTACATTTATTGCATCTTAACACTTTTATTCCCTTCATTGATATACATGCACCTGAAAATAGATTTTCATCAAATGTACTAGAAAATGGCATTTCTATAGCAAATCCTGATTTAAACTGAAAATATCAGGTTGTTAAGAAAGTTTTGACTTGTACTTTAGGGCGTTTCACTTTTCGACTTTTTTTTCAAATCAAGATGGAGTTTTGACCAGTTGGCCTCCTGATAAAGGAAAGCAAGCACAAAAAATTTCAACCAAATCCCTTGACGTTTAGACCTCCCCCTACCACACTTTTTGATGCCCATTTGATACCATGTTAATAATCGTCTAAAAATTGCAGAAAGTGTTATTTTCATCATGTTTGAGACCTTTGTTCTACCAAAGGCACTTTGGTGTAGTTGAAGCTTTGGTTGAAATTTTTTGTGCTTGCTATTCTTTATCAGGAGGCCAACTGGGCAAAACTCCATTTTGATTTGAAAAAAAGTCGAAAAGTGAAACACCCTATTGTACTTGTAATTGTATAATTTAGTCTACAGCCTAGGCTCTTGAAATCATCTTGAACTGAAGCAGGGGTTTCATTAGCAGCAGGCAACAGGCAATATTTACATGTACCACTGAGTTGTTTTCACAAAATTGCCTATTGTTTTTAGGGGCTTTCCAACTTTTCCAAGTTAAATTTATGATTTCAATTATATTTCAGTTGAAGAAAAGCAATAGTCCATCAGAGGTAGCGTAAAGATTAAGAAAACAAATAGGGTTTCATGATCAGCGCAAGACCTGTCCTTGAAACCCCATGCATGGGCTTAGAATAAGTTACAAGATTCTTCAATACACGTTCCCAGGGCCTGTGATAAAAAAATTGAACCTATAACAAATATTAATCATTCAATGAAGAGAGTGCTTCAGAATTCTCTGCTACAAATATCACATGATTTGATGATGTCAAATGAATTTGAAATTGACAAATGTTTGTTTGTTTGTATCCTTTATAGCATTATAATGCCGCTTATTGGTCACGTGTTACTGGTTATTCCCTTGTGCTTGCTCTTGATACTTATTCACTTGTTCTTTATCAAAAGTCTAAAATTCCTTATACTATTATATACAGTTTTTATATGTGCTCATTTAAAATCTCCTGGTTTGCCTACAGTGCTGATATATAATAATTAAGGGTGCCTTTTCAAACTAAACAGAGTGCTCCTACCAAAATGAATTTGCCTACATACCCCTGAGACTCTTATCTGATAGATAGAATGCACAAATAAAACAAAAGTTTTGCTATTATAGGTAAAAAGTTCTCTTGAAATTTCGAAGTGATTTTACCTGTTAATTCTGTCCATGGTCAGCCATTTTTGCGGAAGTTACACTGAAACGGAAACTCCATGAAACGAAACGAAATCACTAGAAAAAATATGGCACACATTATGCGCATGTGCAGCAAAGTTTAAACCAATCATATTATTTGATTTTTTGCGCACGTGAATTATTTGCTTCTGAGCACTTACAAGCTTACCACAATAAACAAACCTGGCAGAGACTACCCTTAGCCTACTTCATTTTGGGGAAATTTCAGCTCAAACTCGTGACAAATGCATAATGCATACGCTGGTGTGAAGCCTTGGAGTAGACACTAATTTTGGTAAATATGATTTATGGTGTATACTTTTCTGCAGTTTGTGGGAGTTTGGGACATTAAATGTTAAAATTCAAGAAAATATGCCAATTAAACGACTGATCAATTAATATATACCACTCAGCACTGTAATGTTGTAATTGCAAAAGGCATGAAATATTGTCATCAAAACGTTGTAGATCTAGCTAATTTCAAATAATTTGATGGTGTTTTACATTCAATTTATTCTTCGATATCTATATAAAATACTTACATGTGGTACTAAGTATAATTCAACCGAGATGATGAGAAATATGAAGCAAATAGTAAATATTTTGAAAAAATAAGTTTGAATACGGGCGCGGACATCTTACATCTCGTGACCTCTCGCGAGATCTCGTCAAAAGTAAACAACACATGGAAGAGAAAATGCCGGTGAAGAAGGTCACACATAACCGCTGTTTTATATAAGTTTTACATTGAATTTACAAACAATATTTATTGGATTATACACCTCAGATATGGCAGAATCTTATAAGTTTGGATATTGGGGTAGTACAAGCGAAGAACTACTGAAATCTCACTTCCCAATTCACCGCGCTTGTAGAGATGGCGACCTGGAAAATCTGTCTTTGTTGTTGATCGAAGCACAACACGGAATCTATGTTGAAGACAGTTTTTATGGATGGACACCTGCTCATTGGGCTGCTTACTTTGGAAAGGTAATTTCCTAATCTTTTTCTTGAACTGTCAGTGCTCGATCTTATTTTGAACATGCGTAATTTACATCTGTTTTTATCCTTCAAATGGGCGCCCTTTTTTGAATTTGTAGGTGACCTCGCGACCTAGATATTTGCACTAAAGCAAGCATGTGTTTGAGCAGTGAGCTTTGTCATTGGTGGAAACGAATTCATTATCAGTCAAACAAATTTAAACAGTCAATCAATTGTGATAAATCATGTTTGATTTGTATTCATTGAAATGAAACGAAAGTAGTTGGTAGCCTAGAATATTTGATGTTTTATATTTGATTTTGATCTAATAAACGAGGCTTACCTTTTTTTTAGTGTTAGATCATATTTATAGGGTCAGGGTGACATGACTCAAAAATAGGAACCAATGTGAATCATAACAGCTATATTTTTGAATGTTTTATCAGCGTAACATGACTTGAGGCGGATAACTGACTCTTCAATATTGCTGCCGCCTTTTTCAGATGAATCAGTCGCCATGGTGTAGACATGTAGCAGTAGTTATCATTCAACCAATTTACTCATTTGTAGGATAGTCGCAATATGTGTTTTGCTTCCTTGTCAGTTGTTACCTTTTCCTGTTTTCTTTCATTACTAGGTGCTGAATCCCAACCAGAGCACATTTCAACATATACAAGTATATAGTGTACACATATAATTGTATGTCATGCCTCGGGAATAAGAATGTTGTTTGTGTTTGACATACATATACTTTAATCATATTATATTGATTATTACATAGTATATGTCACTCTAGGATTAGAAGGTTAATTTAAGGATTTTCCTATAATAGAGTAGTTCAGTAGTTATAACACGTGTGTAATTTATATCTTAGTAGGCAGCTTAACCACAAGGTTTACCAGGTATTCATTAATAAGAATGTCCTTCTGAAGCTTATTGAATTTCATTGTTTATTTAATTGAATAACTTTTCTTTGCTATGTGTTAAGTATAACTATAGACTTTTGTGTAGTTTGTTCCGAATCCAGAGTCTACTTTTCGAGAATTCTTAGATTATATTCAATACTGTTGGCAGTATCAGGTCAGATTAAGTGCCATTGACAATGACATTACAGTGTTCGCGTTGACGCCGTTTTTTGCCATTTTTACGGAAATTTCAGAAGGTTGGACGTAAAAATCAAAAATAACTTACGTCCCTAGGACGCAAAAATTATAAACTGCTTCAAGATAACTTTTACTGCAGCACAGTAGCGGTGAAACATGATTTTCATCAAGATTTTCAAACTCACTACCTTGATATACGAGCAATGATCCAGGTATATTTATATCGACAAATCTGATTGGCTATCATGACTACCGAAGATTAACAGGGTTTCCAGTATGAGACATGGATTTTGATTGGTTCCGTTATATTCCGGAAAATGCCGCAATCGAAATGGAAGATCAAAACATACAATATTGCAGAAATCCCCTGTGGTTCCCCACAAATTGAAACGATTGTTTTTCACGATTATCTTTATCATTTCCACTAGAAACCATTATGATCTAATGTTATACATCAAGATAAATGTTTAATGATAGATCGAGGTCTTTCATCTAAAAGTCTTCAGAATAAGGAGAAATGTTAATAAAAAGAAGCAAAAGTTCACGACCTTGACATGACCTTCAAGATCGCAGGTTTGTAAAATGTGAAAACAAAACTCTTAATTTGAGCATTTCCTTTATTCATTTCGGACTATTTTGGTATAACATTACTTAAGAATTGTGTAAAAAGGACCCAGTGATAGATATTTATCGGGAGGATGCATCAAATTACAATATATGTCATTTTTATCCCATTATAGTGTAAGCACTCTATTATCGCCCACTTTATTTTCACTTTCACAATATTTCTTGAACTTTGTGAAGAAATAAGAGGGACGCAAAAAAATTAGATGGGGACTCAAATTTTTCAAATGGGTTGCGTCCCTGGGACTCAGAAATTTTAATGGCCAGCGCGAACACTGACATTAGTAATAAAGGTTTATTTTGATGATGATTTATCACATATTCAATATTTGGCACATTGACATATTTGGCACATTAACATATTTTGCATATTGACATATTTAGCACATTGACATATTTGGCACATTGACATATTTGGCACATTAACATATTTGGCACATTGACATATTTGGCACATTGACATATTTGGCACATTAACATATTTGGCACATTGACATATTTGGCACATTAACATATTTGGCACATTGACTGCAACCTGTTAAAGTTCATACTTGTATTGTTTTGTCTATCTTGACATATTTGGCACATTAACATATTTGGCACATTGACATATTTGGCACATTAACATATTTGGCACATTGACATATTTGGCACATTGACATATTTGGCACATTAACATATTTGGCAACTTAACATATTTGGCACATTGACTGCAACCTGTTAAAGTTCATACTTGTATTGTTTTGTCTATCTTGTCAAAACAGATTCAAGGAAAAATGGAAATGCTAGACTGGATTTGTATTTGTTTGTTACTATCAGCTATCTAATCCAGGGCCTATATTACATGTGTATATTTACCAGGGCTTATGTATTGACAGAAATAGTTGCATTTTCTCTTTTGAATTATCAGTGTTCTCTACAGAAGTTTTCTTCAAGTGGGTGCAAAATTCTCATTTTCACAATTCAGACCAACATTGGTCAAAATATGCCAATTTTTCTCAAGTGCAAGTGTGTTTCAAAATCTCAGGTGGGTGCTGCACCCACTTGCTTTAATGCTGTGGAGATCACTGATCTGCTGATTGTCTTTCTCTTGATATCTAGATAATTTAGAAACTGCTGATAGGTTAAATATTAAACCTATTTACATTTGATTGCATGTAAAAGGGCTTAGCCAATAAGCTGTTTAGTAAGATTACTACTTTTGTACTCAATGTATGTATTCAATTCAGTGTGGCCTGTCAAAGGTTTCAAGTGGTTACTGGACACTTAACCAAGTTAAAAGAGTTTAAGATCATGAAAAATATATTTCAATGTGTTGACTATTTCTTACCATTAAAATTTGCCTTTTTATTATCTAATTGAGAAAAGTCCTGGGTTGAAAACAGATCAATTTACATATTTTTATCTAGGAACTGTGATATATTATTGTGATAAGTTTCCTGATGAATTATCTAATCATATCAAGTTGTGTGTATTATTGAAGAGTATCCTGCTGATATATGAAGTACCTAGTTATATAGCTATTAGCTAAAGATTGTGGTGCCATATGTGGTATAGACACCTGTTTAAGTGACATATGCAACATATGCTATTTATCACATACAGTATACATAGTTGGTCATCATTTGAAAGAATTACACAGATCTAGTATACTCTTATCAAAAAATTATTTACAATCTAACTGTAATTTACAATCTAGCTGTCATTTGTTGATCCCAGAGGGTAGTATTGCTACTGCTGTCTGATAAGTCTCAGGGTTATTATTTATTTGTTCAGTGCAATAACAGATTATGGATGTCACAGAAATTATTTGATGAATACGTTTTCCCTTATGAAAGTGATAAACATTGTTTGACTAATTTTTTATAATGATGAAATGCGACTTACAAGAGTATTCTTATGATATTATGTTAAAGAACACATAAATTGATTGTAAATTGTATATAAGTTGTAAATTGTAAATATTGTTTTCAACTCTCACACATCTAATGACAGATTCTACCATATAGGCTTTCCTATTCTATTTATTCTTGTCATCCTGTAATTATATCTTCCCACTAAAATCTGGTTTCGATTCAACTTCTTTAAGTTATTGTATCACTACTATAAGTGTTGATGGTGTTCGGTGGTTGGTGTTTGAATTATTGTTCAGTGGTTTGTTGTTTGTATTAATAGTTGGCATTTGTAACAGCCTTCTGCTGTTGGTGTTTGTAATAAATTCCACATGGTGTAATTTTGCCTGTTAATGCCTTGTTAATTGTCGTCCAGTTTACAGCCATATTATTTCACCTTTTGCAGGTTTCATCAAATTTTGTTGTCTGAAAAATTCCTGATGCTAAATTTTGCACTAAACATGTAAAACTCAGAATTTATTAATGTTTATATATTTATTATATTTTACATATTTGTGCATCATAAATCATATGACCAGTTTCTGTAAGGGCACTTAAAAATAAGGTTGCTTTCCATGTTGAATTGGTTGAGATTGTCCAGTCTTCGATACTAGCCTACATTGAGCTTATAATCCAGATAATGTGATTTATAAGCTAAGCTCATTCTGCTATACCATTAACCCCTACAAATTCATTTTGATTCAAAAAGATTCAGTTGTTCTAAGACCCAGTTAAAAGTGACAATGATCCCTTTTTCCAATTTTCCCATTTTTATAACTAGATGGGTACCAGTCATATGGGGAATACACTATGGCTTTTTGTTATGCTAATAGTCATGCTAAAACAAAATATAGTGAACTACTTCATCTATTATGGTGGCTGAGGTGGAAGGTGTTTATAATTGAAATCTAACGTCTGAGATATCTAACTAAATTAATTAACCAGATTAGAATATAGTGCAATTATGCTATGAATGATTCAATCACTTTCAGATTAATTAACAGTCATCATTCATCATAATTATGAATTAGATAGTATACTCCAATAATAGTTCAGAATGCCAACACTATACATACCTCCCCTGTTGAAGAGCTCTCATTTCGGGTCCAGATTTTTTACATCTGGGTTCTTTCTCATTGAAAAATACAGGGTCAGATTTTGACTGCAGTATTGTGGCTGGCAGATGGAGAGCCAGGGTATCATTCTAGCCTTGTTGATAACTTCTTCCTGTTGTTCTGACATTCTCTTGTTACCTGGATACTCTACATGTTGCTATTAATACCTGAATAATATACTGTATACCTATGGATTTATACATTCAGTCCTAGGACTCTTCAATCTTCATTTATTATGATTTAAATGTACTATTTAGTTTGTAAAATGCTCATTGCTTTATATTGTATATATTTATTTAATATATCACGTTTTTAGTGTTTCGAACAGTAGTGATCTGGTGTCGGTATTACTGTAGATAAATATTTTACCATTACTAAAAGCCGGGATTTTTCGGTTCACGTCTGTAAAATGAAACCAAGATGTATCTGTAGATATTATACACTTACTTTTGTGTCTTATTTCTCAATATTACTTATTGAATTCTTTTGGTTATAAAGTGATTATTTCTGTGTCAAGTCAAGATGTAACTCTATGTAATGGAACATTTTAAATTATATTTCATGAAATATAGATTGCTAAGTGACCTTGCCATTTCAATGAAACAGTGAGGCTATTAGAATTGCTAGAGTCTTTAGGAAATAAATTTGATATCCAATGATTTATATTTCTTATTTCTCCTTATCTACTTGTGACAAGCATTTGTACACTCAGTCATTTTGGTTTGGATAAGCTACTTTATATAGTGTAGTACTATTGAATGAAAATGATATCTTATTACAGGTAAGCCTGTAATATGCTATGTGATAAACTCCAGAATAGACTACATATATAGAGATTCTGTCTGTAGAGGAGACTTTGTTATCAGGAACTAATTTCCCACCTTCTTGAACAGCAATCCATATCTGAAACCTTGCAATTTTCTTACATTTACATGTACTATCTAACTCACTAGTCTAAGAATAAAACATACATTGGGACATCAGTCAAGGTATTACAAAACAGTTATAAATCTATTAAATCAAATATTTATTCAGGTAATTAATCAAAGTGAGATGACATCCATCTCTTGATTAATGAGGGATGATATCCTTCTGCAAGTTCCATATACCATTGGTCAGTATCCTTTCTCAACAAATTATGCACTTACTGGTTTGAATAACAGGGGTTTTGTGAGCTATTTATAACAACATACAAAACAATAAGGAACATGCTCTGATGAAAATTGGAAATTAACTTTAGAAAGAATGTTAAAATTTCCCAAACCTGCGAAGAGTTTTGGTGGTACATTTAAACAGACTGACAAAAATAAATGAGATTGCATGAATTAACATAGAGAATCCACTTAAACATGATCAGATAAGGTACCCTAACGAAGCTAAGAAGTGAAGTCAAACGAAATGCAAATGATGATGCGGTATCATGGTACCTGTCTTAGTGAATAGTAGATACCCCTCCCCGCACATATTCTATTGACTACTCTGAATTTTTTTCTGGGCACAAATGTTCAATAAACACAGGTTTTACTGCATAGTTAAAAACTGGCCATGTACCATGTTTCTGGACTGTGTTATTCTTGACATGGACAAAACCATTATTTAAACATGAGAAGAATTAAGCTTGTCTCTGGTTTAGGCAAAGTGAAACTTCTATCAAAAACTACTTATAGTTTTAATTATATATTTTGCAACTGCTTTGAGTGGTTTTCAATATTTTTTCCCGTTGTTTTCACACATAATTGCTTGTTGTCAGAAATTCTAGTACAACCAGCCTATTACATTCTCTGTAAGGTATCCTCAATAAGGTTATCAAAGTGTAAAATGTGTTAATCTTTGGTTGCAGGTTTACAAGTGTTTGCAAGCAGCATCTGAAACAAAGGCTCATTGATTTAATCCTTCCATTCCCTTGTTTGGAAACAAATAGTTGAATGAGTAGTGGGGGGGAGACTTATGGGGGGAGAGTTGTAAATATGATAAAAATTGATTGGCCATCGTTTTATTGTTAATTTTTTGTATAGTATAATTAATAGGGGCGGATTGATAGCGTTCTAATTGAAAGAAGCAAACCCATTACATGGGCAGCATGCAACAGGCAATTTTCACTGGTTGTTTTCACAAAATTGCCTTTGTTTTTAGGGACTTTTCAACTTTTCCATGTTAAATTTCTAATTTCCATGAATTTTGCCTGTTGTTTTCATTTATTTAGCCTGTTATGAGAAATTCTAGTGAAACTCCTGCATTATTTAAAAGGGTAACTATATACTATAGAGCGTTGCAGATTCCCTAAGTTCACCCCTGCAATGTATCTTTGATGACTTTGATGGTTGGAGTTTACCTCTTTAACAATGAAGTACAGAGAATGAGGGATTTTTCTGTCACAAATAAAATCCCTTCAGAACCCAGAGAGATAGATATATCTGTCACAGACATTTCTGCAAAACCAATTTGCACAAATTATTTTTTCAGCATATGTCTATTAAATGCACTTAACTAATAATCATATATTGCATGTTTTAGATAGTATGTACAATTAATGAAAAATTCTCTTATTTAAACCATTTTAGAGCCTGGTCTTCAAGGGGTTAATAAAGCATGAAGAATTAACTGCTAAATGTGTCTTGTACAATAAAACAGCCATATAATCTAAGTATACACTGTAACCTATCATTACTTGGGCATTGCAAATGATACCATTGTATTATCCCAGCCTATCATCAGGTTTTTGAGGCGTAGACCAAAAATTAACCTCAAATGCGCCTTACTTCCAGGTCTAGACTAAAAGTATGCCTCTTTTACAGGTATTTTTAAGGCTTAGACCAAAACCTAACCTCATTTACTCACAATAATTCCAGTTTAATTCCAGGTATAGACCTTATTTTCAGGCGTATAGACCAAAACTGCACCTTAAAAACCAAATCTAAACCACATTTACTTAGAAGATTTTAGAATAGACCTCACTGTAAGGCGTATAGACCAAAAGTGCGCCTGAAAAACTTAAACAATTTTGAAAATGACCAAATCTAGACCTGATAAACTAAGAACATTTTAGAATAGACCTCACTGACAGGCGTATAGACCTTAACTGCGCCTTAAAAACTTAAACATTTATAAAATGACCAAATCTAGACCTGATAAACATAGAATTTTTTTTAAAACTTAGAAAACATAAATCTGAAAAAGCCACACTTACTGTAGTATTTTGTCAGAATCACGAAGGAGACTATAATAGAGATTATAATATATTAGGTTAACAGACCAGTAAACTGTATTTTCAACTCCCTATTAATGGTTTTTATCAGAACTTAAAAAAATAATCAAAATCTGAGAAACCTAAAGAAGGATGTCTGAAAATAATAAAATATTGAAATATTGTTAAATTTAAATGATGAAACAAAAATACATCATATTAGAAGCCTACATATAATTTATATAAGAATACTGTGTAATTTTTGCTTCATCTTTCTAATGTGTTCATAGATCTGTATCTTATCCATGAGACAAGTTAATCCTAGAAAACAACACAGCAATTCAAAATAAATGCAATTTATTTAACAACTATGGAGGGTACTGATATGTACTAAGTACTTTTCTACTTTGAAACAACAAAACATGACCTGACCTTAATTACAGGTATATGAGGCTTGTACCTGAAATGAGGTCTAGACCAAAATTAGACCTTAAGGCTTAATTTCCATAATTGAAATGTGCCTTAACGTAAGGTGTACACCAAAAGCAGAAGAGAAGTAGACCTGAAAACCAATAGTGAACCTCAAATAAGGCGTAGACCAAAAGTATACCTCAAATATAGACCTGATTTACAGATAGTTGAGGCTTAAATGAGGTCTAGACCTCAAATATAGACCTGATAAACCTGATGAGGTCATCAAATGAGGTCTACTTCTGGTCTACTTTTGGCTTAATTTAAATATTTGAAACGCGCCTGACTATGGGGATTTAACACAGAGAAAAACCAAAAGTAGACCAGAAGTACGCCTTATGAGTAGACCAAAAGTAGACCTCAAATATTGACCAATATTGCGCCTGACGATAGGCTGGGATGGTTAAAGTATGTTCCAAAGCCCCAACAATCTCTTAAAGAACTAGGTAATAGATCATATATATATTATTGAAATTTTGATGACACTAATTTGTGAACAATACACTTTTAACAAATGAGCATATGTTAAATCAGTGTAGAGATGGCATATTTTGATTATACGCAATCGAATTGGTGATTCATCTAATTTGGCAACATTTTTGCATGACAAATTGTCTCTAAATAGGTGGCAAATTAACCATGGGTTACAGTATATATGATTGTGCTTTATTTATATGTTTTAATATATTTGAATCCAACTTTTCTTTCTTGATTTCAATAGGAAACTATAGATGGCACTGAACTTAAAATATTTGTGTAAGATGAAAATCAATTATCTGGGCTTTCACCAGGATCTATTTCTAAATTTTGTTTGTTTTCATGAATAATTATCAATCAATGCATCTAGAAGGGATGATTTGGCAGTAAAAAGAATTATCCACAGAATATGAAATTGTTGTTTGAAACAGTGTTCTCTCTGGGGTTCTTCTCAAGGAATCTATTCTTATTTAGTCGAAGATATTCACATTTTTCATGATTCAGTGTCTCATCGTCAAATGGGTATAAATGAAATTTCAGATGGGTGTCATCTTATTTTCAAAATCCTGAAACCCACTTGCTTCAATGCTAGGGTGATACTGAATATCTAGTTCACAGCCTAAAATCCGAGTGAGAGTCCTGATAAGTGGTTTTCAGAATGACATCTTCATTTTAATATGAATCATGTCACAGTATGTGTTGTCCATCAATTATCACATACTGTGTAGTTTCTAATGCACTTCATTTCTTTCTAGCTAAACTGCCTTATGCGGCTTCTTGAACATGGCGTGAACTGTGATGCCACTACAGTACGCTTCAACCAATCACCAGCCCACATTGCTGCATTTGGCGGACATTCCCACTGTCTTAAATGGCTGTTACATTGCGGTGCAAAATTAAGCAAACAGGTATGGTTACCATGGTGACTTTGTTTTATTCTCTTGTAGTTGTGTTGCCTGAGAAAACTTATGCAAAGTACTCGGGTTGGCGTAAATTGTGACATCGTTACGACGAGGTTTCAACAAACGCCGTGCCACTTGGCTGCTTTCGGTGGACACCCCCACTGTGTACAGTGGCTGCTTCAGTCCAGGGCAGATAAGAACGCAAAGGTAACATCCCTGTTTCAGTGTTGTCTTATACATGTAGATGTGCGTGCTGTTTTGTTTATTAGTCAATAATTATGGTGTAATGTTTAGATTGTGCAAAAGAAATAGGTAGAAGAATTTTCATTTTGACACTTTGTGGTCATTTGAGTTTTGTTTGTTTGTAGTGGTGGGACTAGACACCAAAATCTCTACTTGAGTAGAATGATAAATTTGACGATTGAGTAGATGATTTTGACGATTGTTTGAAAAAAATTGAGAAAATTAGAACCTGGCAAATCAAGGCATTTGTCGCTACTTACACAGGGTTCGTACATACCTGGAAATGTCAGGGAAATTGATTTATTTTTCCAGGTGCTGGAAATGTCAGGGAATTTTAAAATTGGGTCAAAAAGGGCCAAAAATGTCAGGGAATTTTGAAACAGTAGATGTGTCAGGGAAATGTCAGGGAATTTTGTATCAATGTTGAACGAATAATGTTCCAGCAAAATACATTTTAGGGCTATGACAGGATATAAGTGAAATCCAAAATCATCTAGTTGTTTCCACAAATTGCAAATCTTTTCATTATTGTTGGTTGAATGACATTAGATCTGGTATTGTCTATTTGTAAGAACAGTGTGAACATTACACTGAAACCGAACAATAAAAGTAAATGTATAGATGATTTAATACAATTATGCTTATTTATGTAGTAAGCTTAGTCTTAGGCCATTCAAAGTTAATTACTGGTATCATGGTTTGATGAGGGGTTAATCTGAGGGGGGGGGGGGCGGGAGGTGAAAAACAAAAAAATTCTGGGAGCTCTTTACAATGTAAAATTGTATTTATATTAAGAAGCTGTCTGTTCGACAGTCCGATCGTACGTCAGTCTTTTCAACTTTCAGGGGCTTTGCCAATTTTGAAAACCTTAGTGATTCCTGATAACACAAAATACTGATTATTTGATTTGGTATCATAGGCCTGAGCCTTTTAGTGATCTGGTGATGCTACTTGAGAAGGAATTTCTAATATGGTGTCAATTGTTTTGGTGAAAATGTCCCAAAAGGGAGAAGACAATAGTAATGCCAGGTTATTGCTATCATATAATGTTCACAATGATAGTATTCAATAGAAATATGTTTCATTAGGTGGTAATTGCCCCTCAAGTGAGTTGCTATTTTTCTAGTAGGATTTAGATCAAAATTTTAAAGTTTCAGTTGTCATGTGGATTCAATATTACAAAACATTAACAAATTATAGTTTGAAATGCTTAGAATGCACCATATACACTACAATTGTCAATTTTGAAAAATTTCCGGGGGTGAACCCCCGTACCCCCCTTCTGGTTTTCCTTCGCTCGCAGTGATGCAAACCCCAAATGATGCACATCCTTGATACTTGTTGGCTATGCCCCTGTACATGTATGTTTACCTTTGGCCTTATGCAATGTAAAATATGTAATATTAAAAATAAAATGTATCAGGAATAAATTGGTGAATAAGACTGCCTGTACAAGTAGTTAAGTCATGAGAAATGGTACTAAAGGAGAAATCCCAAATGTTTCATAATAAGTCTTGAATAATACAGTTGTTTGAGATTTTTTAGAGGGTGCGCGAGGAAAATTAGATCTGGAAATTTCCTTTTTTGCCTGGAAATGTCAGGGAATTGTCAGGGAAATTCATTTTGAAAAAGGTGTACGAACCCTGTTACATCGACTTTTAGTTTCATGACCACTTAAATCCCATCTCCATCAAAATTCATTGCGCATGCGCATTTGATATTATACCGGATATAAACAAATATAAAAAACAATAAATAGGATTCTCATACTTTATTCTCATCAACTAACCATTAAATCAACAAAACATTTCTGCAGAATATAGTCAGAAGTATGTAATTTATTAGAAACAACGCTAAGGCTTAATTTGTGAGTATGGAGGGTAAATTGCGTTTTTTCTCAGAAATTTTCAGGATCACGATTTTCAAATCGATTGATCATTTTCTAGGCTCATTCAAGTTCTAGTCGATTACCCGAGTCATTCGTTACACCACTATTTGTTTGTCTACTTGTTTTGTTGTTAAAGTCATGTGATAATGAAAAATAATTTTATCAGCATTTATCCCTTTGTCTCCCAAAGGAGCTACTTGTTCAGGTCATATATTGAAAACATAAGGTTTTAATCTATGATCTATAATGGCCCAATCCCTTTACTATCCAGTAATTTCCTGATTTATTAGGCACATTTTTATGTCACCACCAACTTTTTTCGTGGATGGTGTTTGGCAGTTGGTGTTTGGGATTCGGGTCTGTAAAAATGGCAGGTGGTGACATTCTACATTTCAATGCCTCATTTAAAGGTAGACTCTAGCCTATTGTCAAAATCTGAGATAAATGTAACATGGACACTTGCTTCAACACCCTGGGGAGAAATAGCTGAATAATCATATAAAGCTCCTTTGAAAAGGAGTCCCCGCTAATGAAACATCAAACAAGACACGTAAATTTTAAATTACTTTTGGATGAAAGCCTGAATTCTCCTTGATGTGAGTGGAGAGTTTCCTCAAATCCAGGGTATAAATACATGATTGGGTTGCTGATGACTCAAAACACATTTATTTTCTCTGGCTGCTTAGCAACATGCAAACAGTCTTGAATATAAGACAGAGTGACATAAATATTGTAGATCCACAATGTGTGTTTTTGTTAGAGTAAGTCAAGAGCAACCTATCTTGCATACTGAGTCTATGTGTAGTTATAAACTACCCTCTGCCATACTATATTACAGTTTAGCAGCCTCGTCTTGAGGGGGGAGGTCTAAACATTGATCTAATTGAGTAAAATTACACCAGGTAACTTATACCAGTGTGGGTCACCACTGGGCACAGGGGCAGCTTTTTCTGATAGACTAGGGAAATCGTGGATTTTGACCCATAATTTCAGATTTTGAGGTCCAATTCCAAAAAGGAAGCCATTGGAGTTGGAAATAATATTTTGAAGAATAGCTTATCACTGATAGGAGTAGAACCCCAACACTCTAGGTAGTCAAGGGGTTAAAGGTTTCATTGACATGTAGTGCTTGTTTGAAGTGGATTTACCTTTAAGGAAATGATTAATATTAGAGCTGATGTAACTGATGTTTTCCTTCTAAAATGGTCATCAACATCAATTTTCTATGTTTTCCTTAAAGCGAATCAAGAATCATTTTGCACCCAGACAACTCATCCCTGGACAACTCATCCCCTAGACAACTCATCCCCTGGAAAACTCATCCCCTAGACAACTCATCCCCTAGACAACTCATCCCCTGGACAACTCATCCCCTAGACAACTCATCCCCTGGACAACTCATCCCCTAGACAACTCATCCCCTGGACAACGCATCCCTTAGACAACTCATCCCCTGGACAACTCATCCCCTAGACAACTCATACCCTGGACAACTCATCCCCCGGATGACTCATCCTTTGGCTTGTTTGAGTAATTTAATGTAATATTATTAATTTATATATTATTCAAATGATTAACAAGATCCTTGATTTAATACCTCACTTTTGTTACGTAAACAGAACTTCAAAAATGGTTAAGATCTGCACTTCTAACTCTTTCCATTTACATAACAATATAGTAAGGTATTTAAGTGACAATTCTGTTGTCTCCTGACTAACAAGTGAACAAAGACTTTCTTGAGGGGAAAGCTGGAAAATTGTTTAAAAAAATATGATATCCATGGTACTACTGTGGTATTGTCAACGAGATTATCAACCAATTAATCTGTAATTTGTTTTATAAATATTTACCTTTAATTTTACTTTTAATACACAATTTCAATATTATGTTAACATTGATCGAAGAAGCTCCTTTGATGTCATAAGCTCCTTTGATGTCATTATATGTGTGTTGTTCATAGTTCAAATATTCTTTAATCCAAAGATAATTTTTTCACAGCAGTCACAAATGAAGCTACTGAAGTTCATGTTCCAAAATTATGCAGAGAGAAAACTTTATTTTTGTCATGAAAGATTAAGTCCTGTAATATAAGGACAAAATATGAAAGTTTTAATGGCACCATTTGACCATTTGACCATTAAGTCAATAAAGTGAAAAAATAATATTTAGAATGATTCAAGATGTATTTGATAAATATTTATTCATGTGATAAAGGATGAGTTGTCTAGGGGATGAGTTGTCTTGGGGATGAGCTGTCTAGGGGATGAGATGTCCAGGGGATGAGTTGTCCAGGGGATGAGATGTCCAGGGGATGAGTTGTCTAGGGGATGAGTTGTCCAGGGATGAGTTGTCTAGGGGATGAGTTGTCCGTAAGCCCTTTACAAATAGTCATAATTAATTAATTTGATTACACTTAACTCAACAATTCTATATTTTTGAGTGTCTTATGAAAAATATCTTAATAACTTTTGAAATTTCCCTCTTTCTCAAAGAAATCTTTGATAAAGATAAAACCTGATTCAATCCAATTTTTGAAGTATAAGATATCTTTATTTATTAGATATCTTTTATCCAGCCATAGAGTTTCATTAAAAATGTCACATTTATTTATTTTCTTTATATTTCTAAAGGTCTTGCATTGATTAAAGCTGCAAAATACATCTTTGTAAAATGTGGTAAAGAGGTTAAGTTTCTGTGATACAAATATTGCCAAGATATAATCTGAACATGTCTCAATTTGAACACTTTATTTCAGTTCATTTTTTTTTTAATCTGTCAAAGACTAAATCGTGTCCCTGTCATGTTTGGATTAGACAGGTGTTACTGTAAGTAGGAGCAGTGACAAGTCTTGCTTTTATCTTTTCCCCCCACCTCTCTCCCAACTCATAAATACTTTACCTCTGCAGACAGGAGAGAGGGAGAGGCGCTTTTTGTGTTTTTTCTGGTGTAATTCCAGCAAATGTTAAACTGCATAGTTTCTTTTTTGATTAGCTATTTATTCTTTGAATGTTACACACCCCCTCCCCATTTCCAATACTGAAATACTAGATTGAGGGAATAGTTCAGGGAGGATGGATGAGAAATGGAATAGTGTTCTGCTGAGAGTAAGATCAAATGTATCTTTTCAAGAGGGAATTCAACAAGAGTTGATTTTGTGTTTCGAAGAGTTTTACTGAGTGTTAACTGATAATTTGATTCACTAGTCTTTTGTCCTCTGATGTTTGTTTTTTCTTACGATAATCCCTTACAATTCCAAGAAAACCATTGTCTACTTTTTGACAAACAATGACTTGCGACCAAATCGTAAGTGACGGTTCCAAAAACAGAGCCTGGTAATTTAAAATACTGCTAAGAACCTACCAATATTCTGTAAATAATTAATGATTATCAGCATAAAGGGATGCTGTTTCTTATGATCAATTCCTTCACTTTTGTTAAAGCCATTATTAATTAATCAACGTGAGCTATAGAGATGTAATATGTGTATGTAATTTTGAGTTTGGTACCCTAGAACATGTGACTGTATGAAAATCCATTCATTCTATTATGGCACTGACATAGTCAAATCCATATGTTTACACATGCTTCATATCTGAGGCCCTTAGGAATATCGCATCAGGGTTTAACAGGCATTGGCACAAGTACTAAGTGGGTGCTGACCTACCAAGGATTTGAAAATTGGCACAAACCCTCTCCCTTATCTAAATGGAACCGATTTACCAATACTTGACGATGAGAAATATAATGATACATTTTTCAAACTTAAGTTGGTATTATGAAAACAAAAACTTTTAAATGGCTTAATGATCAAAGATTCTCAAACAATTAATTACAAAGTAAAGTCTCTTGAGATCAGCGCTCAACTTTCTATCAAAATAGTGAAGAGAAGTTACAAACATCTTTAAATGTTCAAAAAACTCTAGGCAGTGTGGGTTATCATTGTAAAAATGAGAATAATCTCATCACAACAGGAAAAAAGGTTGAGGTTGAATATTCCTGTTATTCCGGTTAAATAATAACTTAAAGACAGACTTTGTGAAAATCCAAGTCATCATACAGATCAAATGAATCCCTCAACCACTTACAGTATAATAAATTATAGGACTTGAATCACTCGGATATATTCATATATTTGCAATGAGCTCCAGGAAAAGACATGCATCAAAATGAGCCTTTCATAGTGGTATTTATCATCTGACCTTAGCAATACCTAAACAAAATATTGTACTATGAACTGACTGCCTCTGAAGTCTGAAGTTATTTTTGGTCATGTTGATTCATGTTGATGAGCAGTAAATAAAAACCTCCCACTAGGTTGATGTTATGATTATAAACAACTTTTTGCAGTTACCTTATTTGCTAAAAAGCATCCATATGCTAGGCCATTAAAATCCAAAATATTCTGTCATAAACAATTCCATCATGTACAATTCTCTCATATAGGATTTTGTCATACTTTGTTCTGTCATATAGAATTTTGTCATACTCTGTACTGTCGTAGGACTTTGTCATACTTTGCACTGTCATATAGGATTTTTTCATACTCTCTGCTGTCATACATGATTTTGTCATATTTTGTACTGACATATAGGATTTTGTCATACTCTGTACTGACATACAGGATTTTGTCATACTCTCTGCTGTCATACTCTGTACTAACATATATGATTTTGTCATACTCTGTACTGACATATAGGATTTTGTCATACTCTGTTCTGTCATAAGACTTTGTCATACTTTGTACTGTCATATTAGAGGATTCTGTCACACTCTGTACTGACATATAGGATTTTGTCATACTCTGTACTGTCATAGGACTTCGTCATACTTTGCACTGTCATATTAGAGGATTCTGTCATACTCTGTACTGACATATATGATTTTGTCATACTCTGTACTGATATAGGATTTTGTCATACTCTGTACTGTCATAGGACTTCGTCATACTTTGCACTGTCATATAGGATTTTGTCATACTCTGTACTGACATACAGGATTTTGTCATACTCTCTGCTGTCATATATGATTTTGTCATACTCTGTACTGACATACAGGATTTTGTCATACTCTCTGCTGTCATACATGATTTTGTCATACTCTGTACTGGCATATATGATTTTGTCATACTCTGTACTTCTGACATATAGGATTTTGTCATACTCTGTACTGTCATAAGACTTTGTCATACTTTGCACTATCATATTCGAGGATTCTGTCATACTCTGTACTGACATATAGGATTTTGTCATACTCTGTACTGTCATATAACTTTGTCATACTTTGCACTGTCATATTAGAGGATTCTGTCATACTCTGTACTGACATATATGATTTTGTCATGCTCTGTACTGACATATAGGTTTTGTCATACTATGTACTGTCATAGGACTTCGTCATACTTTGCACTGTCATATTAGAGGATTTTGTCATACTCTGTACTGACATATAGGATTTTGTCATACTCTCTGCTGTCATACATGATTTTGTCACACTCTGTACTGACATATAGGATTTTGTCATACTCTGTACTGACATATAGGATTTTGTCATACTCTGTAGTGTCATAGGACTTTGTCATACTTTGCACTGTCATATTAGAGGATTTTGTCATACTCTGTACTGACATATAGGATTTTGTCATACTCTGTACTGACATATAGGATTTTGTCATAATCTGTACTGTCATAGGACTTTGTCATACTTTTCACTGTCATATTAGAGGATTCTGTCATACTCTCTGCTGTCATACATGATTTTGTCATAGGATTTAGGTCTTCAGATCTGTGACAATGGTCACATTTGGCAACTGCAACAATTTATTACACTTTTGTAACCATTAGTGATACTGTGTGATTGTTAATAACTTCTTTTTGAACTTTTGTAGGACTACCTCGGGGAAACACCTCTACACAAAGCTGCACGCACTGGAAGCCTTGAATGTGTCAGCCTCCTCACATCACATGGTGCCACTTTAGAGTAAGTTCTATATTTATCAATTTTGATATTCAATGATATTGATCACTGTGCTCTATAGTTGCCTATTTTCTTGATGAGGTTGTCCTTGTTTTTTGACATTATTTAAATATATACTAGTCACAATTCCACGATCTACTACCAATATATTTAATTTCCAACTTCTTCAAAAACGTTCTTTGCACTTTTCATTTTAAACATTTCCTGCTTGACTTTGAATGTAACACTGCTCTAACAACATGTAACTTGTATTTTTCTTCTTTGTTGAAATTAATTGCAACTATTTCTAAAAGTGATTTATCTTAGGCTAAATGTGGTATAAGTAGTTCTGTTTTTAAGACCAAAGATATTGTCTGCACCTATAAAAAAGAACAAAATAGTAAGATGCTTCAGGCAGTCTGTCTTGTGAGAGACACATGAGCCGTTTTAGCCAATCATGAGGTTATTAGCTTGGTGTTGTTAATATGACATATTTTCCCAAGTGTGGCTCCATCTCAACTTGATGAAACCTGAGCCTGTGGAAAATGTCAAATTGACATAAATTGGACTATTGAGTATTGCTGTATTCTATTTAGACAGTCATGCACAGTTTTGTTAATTGCCTATTTAGCTTGAAAATATATTTTTAACAAAAATCGCATAGACACATATCAAAATTGGAGACATATTGTTATATAAAATTAAAGGCCCTATATAACTTTTAAAGTCAAGACAAGCAGTTAATGAATGATAAAAACTTTTTTAAACCTAGAATGGGGCCATTAAAGAATAAACAAGTTGATTTAGATTCAGACAAATTAAAAGAATGATGTCCTTGCTCTAGCCTACTTGAAAACACAACTTATGATACCCCCCACAGCCCCCTCCCCCTTGAAAGGTGCCACAGTAAAATGGATAGTTACAGGAAAATTTCATTAATCTGAGGGACTTTGGAAGCTGTGTATGAGACTGACTTTGAAAACAAATACACATGTACAATGTACATATGTGCATTATTAAAATATTTCTTTGATTTGAGTCTTCTTTCCTACATTTGTGGTACATGTCTATTTGGTTAGAGGGGTTGGTTCGAGAGATGGTTTAGAGGGGCCAGTTTTTATTAGCCTTTGATATTTTTATATTGACTTAAACTTCTCTAGATATTTTGATTCAAACTAGAATAATCCTGTATATGTTTCTAATCAGAAAAATATTTCAAAATGGAAAATATTAAATATAACTCAGTGATCTCCCCAGCATAAAAGCAAGTGGGCGCAGCACCCACCTGGAATTTTGAAAATAGGCTTGCACCCACCTGAAAATCCATTTACACCCACTTGAAAATGAGAAAAATCATGAAAATTTGGCATATTTTGACTAACTTTGGTCTGAATTGTGAAAAGGAGAATTTTGCACCCACCTGAGAAAAGATCCTGGGGAGATCACTGTAACTGAGCTTTTGGAAAGACTGATTATGTGGATTCGTAAAGTGAGCTTTTATGATTACAGTAGTTATTTAATAAAAGCACACCAGTCGCAGTGCATTAATGTCATATTACATAAAAGCTATTAGCGATTTTAAGTACAGGTATCTGAAATTACACTTAGCTCATTATTTTAGTACTCATACTCCTATGAAAACCGCATGTTCAAAGGCTAATAATAACAACTGATGGGAAAGTTTATTTGATACATACAACACCTGATTCAAAATGTGATAAAAACCATGAGGACAAAAAAAAAGATTTTTGACATTAAGTGGACAAGGCCAGTGATTGCAAAATTCAATATCTGAAAAAGAAATAATAAAAAATGCAATAAAGTCCCAAGTAATTTAAATGAGTACTTACACATGATATCCTTTAGAATATCACAGTAACAAAGGAATACAACAAGTTAAGTGTTATTATGATATTGTGTTTTCAGTGTTAAGAACAACAATGGTCACACTCCCAGCCAAGTCAGTAAGAACTGTGGATACATGGAGTGTTCGGCATACCTTGAAAGAACCATGACGCAATATTACGAGAAACGTCAGCACCTCAGTGGTATAACCCAGGATCTCAGTCCGCATGTGAATTTTGAGCAGGCCTCTGTCATGGCGGAAAAATGTGTCCTCAATCAGGCTATTAATGGTGGTTTGTTACCACCACCAGCGCATAATGGAGCTGACATTCCCGAGTCTGGCCACCATGAGGATGCAGATATGGACTCTATGGAGACAGAATCTCCTGAAACTGATACTCACACAAATGGTCAAAATGGGTTCCATATTGAACCTATGCATAATGGATCTGGTGATGCATTTAGCTCAAATGGACTAAACAGAGCTAGCAACCATCATGAAAATGGTTTTCTCCCACATGCACAAAATGGTCATGGAGATGCGAGAAATGAACATATCGCACAACGAACATCAACTCAGGAAATGAACGGTGCTCAATCTGGTGACATCATGCTCCATAATGACGTTGCGAGGAATTGTGTGCCAATCGCTGGGAAAAAAAGGTCCAGAGAGGATGTAGAGGAAGAGGGTCCTAAAAGAATGAGACGAGGAGGTATAACTTAAAATAATTTTTAAAGGGGTCGGGTCAGGTATCAGTGAAAAGTTTCATTTTGGAAATGAGGTAAAAGGTTGGACTTGTAAAGCTAAAAGCCATGGGAATTTTAAATGATTGATACTTTAATGAAACAATGACTTGGCCCCTTACCAATCATTAAAACATCTAAGAAATAATGGAATATTTTCAAATTATATTTCCTGTTTGAATTTAGGTATATTGGAAATTCATGAAAGTGGATATTTAACCATTTGAGTTATTCTTTGGCTCTTATCTTTTGAAAGTTTGCCTAAATCTGTTTGTATCTGTTTGCCATGCTTTGGATGCTTCCACGTAACTTTTCTTTCAGATGCTGTATTCACAGAACCAGAGCAGTGGTTTAACCCATTGCTCTTCAAACCTGTTGAAGAAAGCCCCATCGAGGACATGAACTTTGAAGCGCAAGATCTCCAGCCATATGAGTCTATTTTAGCAGTTTCAGCTGAGCCGATGACCCGCCCTGTTGGCATAGTTGATCAAATGCCTACAAAATGTCACGCCTACCAGTGTTTCGCTATTTGAGGTATTTGCTTGCATGCCCTAATGGTCCATTTTAAATCAACTAAATTCATAAATGTTTATCTTTCAAATGTATATGAGTAAATACATCTAAATACAAATTATAAATCATTCGTTCATCATTTAATATGTAACATGCTCATGTTGTGTTATTTTGAATTTCAGAATGTTTGTTTAACATTAAAGTTTGTTTGCCTTCCAAATTAAGTTGATATAAATGTGGACCTTTGGACCTGGGAGCAAATAACCATTTCTGTTTTAAACCTCCCCTTTTATTTGTAAACATACAGGTTTTGAAATTCATGCATGTTTTTGATTAATTTTTTTCAGTTCCAAGGGCTTTTTCTTTTCTTTATTTTGCAGCATGTTAAATAATAGTTATGCAAATGTCCATTAATAGTGTCATACTATATCTGTTACCCTATGTTACACGTCTCTTCATTCTTAATCTACCTGTTTTCTTGCTTGCCCCTCTCTCTATTCACACCTGTAATACCATTCACCTCAATTTACAATCATTAGGAACAAACAGCATTTGCTTTTCTCCTTGTTGCTTTTACCAAAATTGCCTGTCGTTTTGAGTAATTTTCAAAATTTTGAATAATTTCCCAGTTTCCCAATCAGTTTGCCTGTTTTGACAAATAATGACCAGTTCTTATGTTTATTTATTAAAAAAGATTTATGTGCATGTGCCATGTAAAATGTGAATGCCTTCATTATTGTCTTCATGTCTGTAAGCCTTGATGATGTTTCAATAGATGATTTATAACGTGTTTTCACCCATGAACAATTAGAATAACAACATCATCTCTGCCTGTCTTTTCTAGAAGCCCCTGAGTTCCTACATAACAGTGATATTGGTGAGACCAATATGATTGCAATGGGAGATTCGGAGATTAATTTTAACAATGAAACAGAGATGAACCGTGAGGTGAAGCATGATTGGGACACTAAAAATGCCAAGGAATATCGAGCTAAATGTGTGGGAATGTTCGGCCATTATATATAATATTTCATAATACATCTAACATGTTTAATGCTTGTGGTACTAACCCGTCATACACTGTACTTTGAATGGATTTGGAATATCATATTTACTATACTTGTGACATCATACAGTCGTTGGGCATCATAGTGCTATTACCAGCTTAACCCTAATGTGGATGTGTGTAGGACTAATGGGATGGTAATAAAACAATTGGTTTAACCTGTTGGACTTATGGGATAGATCCTCCTTTGGATATTGCCTTGCTTACTACTAACCTTGGATGTATCTCTGTATCATTACAGACACAAAGGAGGTACCTCACTTCCCAAACTTACATGTGGCCCTCATTGGAAGTGGCAGTATCAACAATGCTGGTGAATACCCTGGCAAAGAAATTGGACTCACGGGGCATGGAATCTGATGTGATGTTCAACACTACAGGAAAGCTCAGAGAACCACTAAGATGACTGTTTTATTAGATAAGGCACTAAATAATCATTCACCTATCCAATTCTGCTTATTTGCAGATTTTACGTTTGTTCATCGTTCAGCTGGTGTGCCAGTTGCAAATGGTGCAAACTTTGCACATGTGAACACCATGCAGATGACTGGAATGAATGGGCATATTGTACCAACAGATGTTGAACACCAGGGACAGAATGGAGATTCTGCTACAGGAAGGGACAGTGTGTTCTACTCATCCATGGTCTCACACATGGTCTAATGTAACATTGGGATAATATGCATATTTACAGATATATTGTATATGTCTCAAACTATCTCTAAGCATTACCAATGCTATGAGAAATCCAACTTCAACTGAACTTATCTGAATTGAACACAAGGTCTAACATTATTTTTGATCATTTACTTATACAGGCAAACTGTATGTCTGATAGAGAGACATAATGTATATGTCTCAAAATGTTTCTTGGTGTTATCAATGTTATTGGAAATCCAACTTCAACTGAATTTATCCAAAGTGAACGTAAGGTCTAACATAACATTTGAGGAACAAACATTATGGTGATCCAACCTCAACTAAAACTTACCTCCAACGAACAATCAGTTAAGAGTTAAATTGTGAGGCTAAGTCATTGGACATCATTGGAAAGTGACATTTGTGTAGTTTAGGTGTTATTTATATTTGCCAAACATCTAAACTTGATAATCAGAATCAGTAAGATCAGAATTTGACTATTTGAATATGAACTTGCATTTTTTACAATTAGAAATCCTGTTTGATTCTAATTTTAGGTAGGCTTACAAATGTAATGTAAGCCAGCATATATATGTACAAATGATATGTTAGAATTATATTTGTCATGTTATCATTATATGCATTTTGCATTGGTTTTAGTGTTGTTTACATACAAACAAACTTATATAAATGTTCACCTTTTCTGGCATTTTCCAGAAATTTTAATTGATTGTTTTAGGGAAAATATAGTGAGCAGTGATATTAAACGAGAACGTACAGTTCAACAATTCATTTCCTTTGAAGATCCTATATATATATTAGAATTGTAATAAATGATGTCATAATTGAATGTAATTTACTAGTTTTAGGGCATCTTGTGACTATTTGTTCAACCTTCATAGTCCAGTGATGGACAAATCTGTTTGCAACCAGTCTGTGAAACAATTACATTTCATTGAATCACAGTCTCGAAGCAACCAGAGAAAAACCACACAGCCCCTTATTTTTTGTATTTCAAAGTAGATTTTTCTGAAATCAATTTAAATCTCTTCATTTTTGTGCACTTCAGATCCAATTATCCGGAATACTTACACTGGTCTCCCTGTGTGTGTGAACGGAACAAATGGTCACAGCCTGAGTAAAGCGCCATCTATAACCACCAGTCTCGTAGAACATCAAAGCACAGTAATGTTGCAATCAGGTTATGATGATATCTATAGTGAATTCATGTATCATGGGGCAAGGGGTACCCCTTAGCTGAACAGTCTGGTTAATGAAGATATCTGTTGTGAATTTATTTCTGAAAATGATGCTGATACATGAAATGGTCTAGGGGTAAACAGAATTAAATTCTGGTAAAAATAGTAAGTGCTTAATTGGTACTACATGGTGACAAATGTATATTTCAGTCATGTTAATATTTGAGATCTCAAAATGAATGCAGTTAATCAGTTTACATCCGTACTAAATTTGTTAAAAACATCAACCCACTTTTGTAGACACTTATAACAACTTGAGTAGACACTCAAATCTGAGTAGTTATCAGATATACTATTAAATAAAAATACATGTAATGTAATATAAATCGAAATGTTCACAATTATAATTTATGTACAATAATTATATGAATATACAGCAAATTGAACATTGATCCCCACCTATTATATTTACTGTATATAATCACTTTAGAAATGACGTTTGACAATAAATCATAGTGTTATAAGAATGAATGCATAATTGCATATGTGTAGAAATATAGTGTATAATAAATTACACTTAAACTGGAACATGTGATGCTACCATCTTGTATTAGATGATGGGTCATATTTGAATCCTGTATGCTGTATGGGTCCTGTAGCTTTCATATATGGGACCATTATGCCATGTAGGCCCTGTATATCCTATTGATCCTGTTGTCTATATGTGCCTCTACACTGAGGATCTGATTTGTAATAGACTGTTTTTTCTACTAGCCATGTAACACACACAATACATTAGATTACATATAGCGAAAGAATACACAAGGATGAATGTAAATCGTAGATGGTAGTAAAAATATGTCTCCACTTGTGGTGGATACATACAGTAAAACCTGTCTTAGTGAACACCTGTGTTTAGTGAACACCACATCAAGACATTTTACATTGACTGTTGTATAAAATTTCTGCAGTAAACACCTACCTGCAGTGAACACTTTTTTGCGGCACAGGTGAACAGGTGTTTACTATATACAGGTTTTACATTTAGATGGTAGTAACAGTGAATGATATAGTTGTTTATTTAGAATTTGTGTAAATTTAAATCATAAATTGTATGTTCATGTTAGATCTCACATATATTATTACAACATGGACACATGTAAATTTAGATATGCCCACACATATTATTTATGTATGTAGTTTTCACTATTGATCTTCTTATTGAAACACAGGAAACTCATGTCTACTGTTGCACATTATTGATATCACGGTATGATTGATGTGGCCGAATGTTAAAATTTAAAAAGTATGTAAATATGGTTTAAAGATATACTTCACCCAAAATATTAGTGTCTAGAAATAGGTAATAAGGCCCATTTTTTTTATATGTTCAGAAATTGATGAGGAAATAGGCTAATTATATTTCTCTTGTACACAGATGTCAGAATGAATGTACCACTTTTTCATTTCTTTGTAAAAGTGTATGTCTTGGACACGGTATGTCTTTAAAGGTAGCCTCAAGAAAAAGTACAATTGTAAAGATAGAAATAATTTGGATGGAGTATTCCTTTAACTGGCCAAAAGCAGTGAAAGTCCAAACAGCCAAAATCCTAGCTCAGTTTCAGAAATTCTTGAAATACAGGGTGGTCCAAAACAGAACCCTCAGGTCTCTGAGTAAAGGTTCTGAGTTCTGTTTATTTTGGGTCACCCTGTACTCTGATGGTATATATTGCCAAAGCACTTTCATAAAGAGGTAACATTTCTGTATAGTAGCTATTTCATTTTTCGGAAGCTATCGCATACCTGTACAACAGACTTTTCCAGTAAATTCTGCCATCTTTTCTTCAACCAGAGATTTATAATTCCCTGTCAGTAATTTTTGGTCAACTGAAAACTATTTGTCCCAATCAATGTTCATGTCCATTTTAGGAGGTCTATGCTGGTAGTTACACTATTGATGCAGGCATCTACCTTTGCCTCATTATGGAGAATTTGACTTTTCACATTTTGAGAACATTGAATGGTGCCATTCCCAAGGGATCTAATTCCATTTTGAAGTAAAACTGAACCAATAGCATCATATCTAATAGTTGCATGAGTTGGTATGGTTCACTGGAAAGTATTATTGCTGTGCACACTGCAACACATACTGTACTTAAAAGAGTGTGAGATTTGGAAAACTTGTCATGTAGAGAAACTTTTGTTGTATACATAGTGAATGAGAAGTTAGAATCAGAAATGAGTTTAGTTGTGATGTTATTATGTAAAACATATTTTTACGCTTTTTGTTGCATTTTATATCTGTATTGAATATGTAATAAGAAAAAGTTTACAATTTAATGACATCATTCAAAATGAACCAAATTGATCTCAAGTACATTGGAATTAATATTTATAAAATTATTATTAATGATTACTATAATGTAATTAATTATTTCATCCAATTTAAGTATTTAGGAACTTTTGAAATTAACTTTTAAAATAACAGTAGAATGTATGTTATTTCAATGCTTGATCTTGTATAGCTATCTATTGTATTGAACTGTATGTAGTTTGTATTCATAATGTTATCCAGAAATATATACATTTTCATATTTTCATGAATAAATATTGCATTTATGTTAAGTTAATTATCTTTTGAGGGTCTCGAGGTTCTAAGCTCCTTTGCAAATCTGTATTTTGACCCGAATATTAAATCAAATGTGTTGTCTACATTAACATGAAAATTCAAAATTAATTGCTCTCAATTTTGTAAAGATTTTGATTATGTATAATTATTGTAACATGAACATGGTGTTCTTTCGTGATCCTACACGTACGCCGTACTTACAAACACGTACTGTACTCCCAGCAGTAGAACAGTATTAGCATGCCATCTATTAATTAGAATAGAAAACTTTCATGGAATCTATGACTCATTGGTATTTTTCATAAAGGGGAATCCCCTATTCTCTGCCCAACTCCATCTTTAAGAAACTTGGCCTGAATAGAATTTCCGACGTAAAGATTAGGTAAGAAGCTCTTCCATGGAGTGGTAATCAGCTATGTATAGCATATTTAAACTTAAATTATAAGGGATAAACCATTGGTATAAAGAAACATTGTAACAATAAGTCTAACTCTGCGATTAAGCTTGAATAGTCTATGGCCATTTCTACTAACGTACAATCGCCTGGAATTTTGAAGGTCATTCATGATTGTAGCTCCCCAATATGTCCTTGTTATTAAGACCATGTAACGTTATGGGCGATGGTAGAGAGGGGGCCAACATTGTATCATTCAATATTACTGTTGGCACACCTGGATGACTGTAACTGCAGTTAGTATCATTCAAGATGGTGACCAAAATGCAAGTTTCATTTTTGATAAACCAACGATTTCAGCTAAATTAATTTTTGAATCTGGATTCCAAATGTTTCGCCATGAACTGATAAAGTTATGATTGTAAACAATCACAAGAACGCTTTCAAGCCATGACGTAGGAATGACACGTTTGAAATGATGCGATCTATAATTGAAATAAAAGCTAAAAAAGGTTGCACTTTTGTGTCACATTGTCACTGGTAAAGGAAAGATTCTAATATCAGGTTATTTTTTCAGATTACAAAGTCTTAGGAAGATACTTGAAATCACTAAAGATTAACTCTTCATTGGTGATTAGCGTTAGGCGGCCTACGTCATAACTGAATTCTTAACAGGATGGAACAATCAAAGAATACGGTGCAAACTAGTTGCTGCCGAGTAGACAAGAAAGCGACCAAAGAGAAAAACTGCGATGATTGTAAGACGAAAGATGCTGAAATCAACAAGCTCGGGAAACAAATCAGGGAATTGATTGAGAAGATGAAACATGAGAACCAATCAAAAGCCTCTCTGCAGAGGGATCTAGACTGCCTTGGACTTTTGTACAACCAACTTGAAGAGAAATATGGACATCTCGGTCACATTCAGAGGGAATATTGGGAGGCGAAATTCGAGAACAGAGATGAATTTGTCAAAAAGTGGGAGGAACTTGATAAGTTTGTTCACGACACTTGGGAGAAAGATCACGAGGAACATCGATACATGCACCAAGTTAAGTGTGAGAGTGATGATGTTGCAGCGAAGAACGAAACCCTTAAAGCTCACAACATTGATTTGATACAGACCAATGCACATTTTCGTAAAGAACATGGAAGAAAGAATAGCGAAATCGACAGGTTGACAAAAGAACTTAATCATAGCACCAGTGAATTGAAGAACCTCTCGGAAAGAAATTTTCACTTGAAGAAGGAATGGAAAGAAATGCAAGAAGGGGTTCAAGGGGTGAATGAGATGTCACTTGAACACGATCGTATATTGGGAATCAAACATGAAGCGATTGAAAAATTAGAAGAAGAAAAGAAAACACTGAGAACAAAAATGACAGAAATGAAAATTCAAATCGACACATTAAGAGGTGACTATTCGCAGCTTACCGAGCAATATTGCCGATTACAGAACATCTTGAAAGAAACGAATAAGGAGTTGAAGGGAGCAAAAGACATGGCAAGTGAATACGAGAGAACATTAAAATCAAACAAAGACACTATCATAAAGTTAGAGGACGAAAAGAATGCTACGGAAATAAATTTAGCTGAGTTAAAAAGCAATTTAGAAAGAATAGAAAAGGACCGTCTGACTGAAAAGAATAAGATCAATGTTGCAACAAAAGATATTGGCACATCTGAAATTCAAAATTCGTCGAAATGGTGGCATGGAGTGAAAAAGGACAAGAAATTAAATAGCTCGGGAACTAAAGTAAATAGTTCGATGAAGAGCAATGGAGGCACGGTTCAGAAAATCGAGCATATTCAAGCTGCGAGGCCATCAAAAGAAGAAAAACGTGAGCAACAACCTATGCACGAGTTCGACAGGCGCATAGACAGGTAACGTTTGAAACTTTTGCAGTATTTCAAACATTCCTAGCAATTATAACGCCGGAGAGACAACGTGTCCTTTATACTACAATGTAATACTAGAGACAACATGACCTTCTTACATGTATATTGACTTTTTGTTTCTTTGTACTACAGCAGTGGTGGGTCTTTGTGGAGGTCTCAGTCTGCTGTAAGCGATAAGAAACCAATGAAAGAAAAGAAACAGGAGCAACAAACAAATCTCTACAGGTATGTATAAACGCACTTTAGTAAGCAAATATGTTATGCTAGAGACAACATGACTTGCCTTAAAGTCTGTACGTGCTTTATCACACCATTCTTTCAATAGCCACAAGACACATTTTAGTACAAAAATCAAATTGATGAAAGGGGTGGGGGTCAGTAGTTATTTGCGCATGTAGTAGCAGTGGCGTAGCCAGGATTTGGTGACCGGGGGTTCTATTTTTATGTTATTCACAAATCCCCCCCCCCCTTCATTAGGGTTCCTCAAATAAAAACATTTTTGTGCAATTTGTACAATTACACTCCCTCCAATAGTTTGGCAATCCTAAGTAACCCATTGGATTATGTGTTAAAGCATCTTTAAGTTTGAATTCCTATATGCACAATATATTTGTAAAGAAAAAACTATTTTTTGGGAGGGGAAATAAAATTCATTTTAATACCTTCATTAAGTTAAGTAGACAATTGAATTTGAATTTTATTTAACAACAAGGCATTAACATGACAAAATGTCACCACCTAAAACAATTTGGTCAATTTAAAGCAAGTTGGAAAATACCTTTTGACCTTAAGAAGGTTTGATTTGAACTTCTTAGAACATGTAGATGATTTTGAAAAAAAATTCGTCAATTTGAAGCAAGTTGAAAAAATACCTCTTTGACTTTTTTTGACATTGAGAAGGTCATTGAAGGTCAAATGTCAAATGTAAAGTCAGATTTGAACTTCTGAGAACATGTAGATGATTTTGAAAAAAAATTAAGTAAATTTGAAGCAAGTTGAAAAAAGACCTTCTTGACCTTGAAAAGGTCATTGAAGGTCAAATGTCAAATCTAAAGTCAGATTTGAACTTCTGAGAACATGTAGATGATTTTGAAAAAAAAATTAGTCAATTTGAAGCAAATTGAAAAAAGACCTTTTTGACCTTGAGAAGGTCATTGAAGGTCAAATCTAAAGTGAGATTTGAACTTCTGAGAACTTGTAAAAGTCAAATTTGAACTTCTGAAAACTTCTGAAATTTGGTCAATTTGAAGCAAGTTGAAAACAGACCTTTTTGACCTTTTTTGACCTTGAGAAGGTCATTAAAGGTCAAATGTCAAATCTAAAGTCATATTTGAATTTCTGAGAACATGTAGATGATTTTGAAAAAAAAATTTAGTCAATTTGAAGCAAGATGAAAAAAGACCTTTTTGACCTTTTTTGACATTGAGAAGGTCATTGAAGGTCAAATGTCAAATCTAAAGTCAGATTTGAATTTCTGAGAACATGTAGATGATTTTGAAAAAAAAATTTAGTCAATTTGAAGCAAGTTGAAAAAAGACCTTTTTGACCTTTTTTGACTTTGAGAAGGTCATTGAAGGTCAAATGTCAAATCTTAAGTCAAATCTAAAGTCAGATTTGAATTTCTGAGAACACGTAGATGATTTTGAAATTTTTTTTAGTCAATTTGAAGCAAGTTGAAAACAGACCTTTTTGACCTTTTTTGACCTTGAGAAGGTCATTGAAGGTCAAATGTCAAATCTAAAGTCAGATTTGAAGGTCAAATGTCAAATCTAAAGTTAAATCTAAAGTCAGATTTGAATTTCTGAGAACATGTAGATGATTTTGAAAAAAAATTTAGTCAATGTGAAGCAAGTTGAAAAAAGACCTTTTTGACCTTGAGAAGGTCATTGAAGGTCAAATGTCAAATCTAAAGTCAGATTTGAACTTCTGAGAACATGTAGATGATTTAGAAAAAAATTGAAGTCAGTCTAAACAGTATTTGTTAAGTTATAGGAAGTTGTAAGAAATTGTTACAGACGCCGGACGCCAACCACCAACCGCCGGACGCCAACCGCCGTCGCAAAAAACGGAGACCATAACAATATGTCACCACTTTTGGTGGTGACATAAAAATGATGTCTTTATTTACGTTAAGCAAAGTCTAAAATTAATTACGTATACCCTGCGCGCAGAGTCTAGTTATAAACTACGAAGACGAAGCTCTCTTTTAAGAAGTGAAGTCGAACGAATGCAAAGGGCAAAAAGTAATAACCTCTCCCATTGAAATAGCACAGGACGTAAAAATGATTTTCAAAAATTACCTTGTTGCTTTGTAACTTTAATGTTCACAAAGTAAAATAAACAGGCAACGTGCAAAAAAGTCAGACAACTTATAATTAATTTTCTGCATCAAAATATTTTTCGGTCAATCTTTTACTGAATGTATATCCTGAAATCTGATTTGCCCCGAATCCACCATTATTTCGTCTGATTTCTGGAAGACCCTGGAGCATGATTTGTTACCAAGGAATATCAACTATTTCGCACGATTTATTCTTTAACTTAAGCTACTTCATCTAGGACAAAATAGATCACCTCGTGCAATGGCTTATCATTCTTTTGCAGGAATTTTGTTGGAAGCCAATTCGGATCAAATGCAAGGTTAATGAAAATGGTGCAAACACCCTATACTCCGAAAGATCGTTCTTCTATGATAACTTTTCACAACGTTTACACGAAGACTTTTTAAACTATCCGGGATAGTCGTATTACTGATGAAAACATCTGTTATTCAAATAAGTGCAATTTATTATGCTTTGTTTTAAAAAGTTAAAAATATTTCTTTGGACGTCCCCGGAGCTCAGTGGTAAGTCTCCCGGAGCAGATCAACTGCAATTGAAAAAAACGCTATTCGCTAAACATATCATGACATTAATATGAAAATGGAGAGCAAGTAAACTGGAACGATAACAATTTGAATTCTATACAATCGTTTAGATGAGTGGAGTGTATTTGAAAAAAACAAAATCATTTTTTGCAATGATTGATTTTCTTTGAAAAAATTATGGGTAATAAATACTGAACAAATGAAAGAATGAATAAATTTGAACAAATGCTTGTGTTTATAAATGATTCATTTCACAACGTTTTTAATTATTTAACGCAATTCATTCGGGGACTTGCCAGCCCAAGGGACGTCCCAAGAAATATTTTAAATTTTAATTGAAATAAAACAAAACACATTTGAAAGAACATGTGTTTCATCAATATTACGACTATTCCAGATATTTATTCGCCAATTTTGTAAAAATCATTCAGAGTATGGGACGTCTGCATTGTTTTCAATTTCAATAACTTTCAATAACTTCATATTGGACCAGAACTGAACAAAACCTACAAAGGACTGATTTAGCCATTGCCCAAGATGGATTATTTTGTCTGAGAGGAAGCAGCTTTTTAGTTAATTGTGCGAAATTATTGTACTAAATGTAAAATCTCATGCTCTGGGGTCTTAATTAAATCTCATCCCGTGCCTAAGGTTGCCAAACGTTTTGACATGCTTTTAACAAAATAAGGCTCTCATGTTCACCATAACTAATATCAATCAATTTACTGGTCATATATGTAGTTTTCAAATAGCACAGTAATTTAATGTTTCTGGTTATATGCATTGTCCCGCAAAATGATATTTTGGGAAATCTTGACCGGGGGTTCGTTCGAACCCACCGAACCCCCGCTGGCTACGGCTATGAGTAGGGATTTGAGACGGGGAATATCACAAGGATGATATTCATATCATCCAAGAGATATTACTCATATCACCCCGACATCCTGATAGATGAATAACGACACTTTACTATGGTCAAAAGCAATATCTACCAAAAAACAAACAATGAGTTACATTAGAACAGAAATAAAAACACTGGAAGTCATTTTGGGAGTCACCGTCACTGTTCCTTTAACTTTGAGAATACTCTCCTCAACAACAAATTTGCATTAATGGGATAATATAGATATCAACCCGATATCACCCCGCTTATTCTAATATCATCCCAATATCAGTCTTGATCCGGAATATGTGATTCATCATTTGCCGTTACATACCTGATATTGCTTTGACCATATGGTATGATACAAAGGAATACCATAGAAATGGTACTTTGTAATTAATCCCTTGGTATTTTGGAATGATATATCAAATTTTTATCAACTCACTGAAATTGATTTGTGATAATCATTCATATTCATCCAATGGTTTATTTAAAGAGTGACATTCCATAAAATATGGCCTTTAACTCTAAAGTTCCTAGTCTGATTTTTGAAGTAAGCATTAGTTTTGTCTGTTTTTCATGTAGCTGCTCTTCTGAATATAGAAATAATTTCTTGCAAAAATCATATATATGGGGGGCTCTTAATTTCCTAAAATTGATTATCAAAGTCAAGAAGTAAAGAAGTAAGTCAGAAAATGCTTTCATGAATGACCCGATTATTACATCTTTTTTAAATATTGCACTAATACATATGTATGTATATGCTGATACAGAGAGTTTATTACTTGGATTTATAATTGGCGCACCCGGGTCTGACTGTAAACCTCCTGTTCACTGTCGTATGAATTATGAATGTAGTTTCGCACACATGTCAACGGAAACAAACAATGAACCCTGCTTTCCCAAACCCGGGTTTCCAGGATTCGCCTCGCATGCCTTCGACTCTTTCTCCAGAAACCCCTCCTCGAAGGAGCTCTGTTATAATTCACATGTGCAATCATACAAAGACAATGACATACACGTACACACCACACATGCCACAGCCTTTTATACGCATTGTGGACCTTTATGCTATATTTTAGTATATTCTAAGGTCATGTGCATGTTTGGAATTTTGCTGCAACCCTCAATAGGGTTACATGTTATTTTTCAAATCTAAATCACTCCTTCCCCACAGTGTTTACATCTCTCACCTTTGCACAACGAGTGCACTAATGTACCTAGAAAAGAATGCAAAGAAGAATATTTTGATAAAATGTATAAAAAACAAGAAAATTCAGTGAAAAATTCAAAAAAAATTTCAGAACATTTTTTCCGACTGAATTTTTTCGTTTTTATACATTTTACTAGGCACATAAGTGCATTCTTTGTGAAAAACTGGAAGATGTAGACAATGTGTGGAAGGAATGATTCCTGTTTGAAAAATAACATATGACTCAATTGGGGAATGCAGAAAAATTCCGATACCGTTAACAA